AAATTTTACTGTATTTTCACATTTTTAGAATATTCTGATTCCTAATTGCAAAGCAAGCACAGGACAGTGAAATAATTTTTTTGTTTTAGGAAATGACTGTCCAAGGGCTGGAACCAGAAATTCAAAGACTGATAGCTAAGCATAAAAATGAAATAAAGAAAATCAAGCAGATCCATGAGGCTGAGATCCTGGAATCAGATGAGAGAGCTGCTCAGCGGTATGTTAGAATGACAGAGGAACTCCGTGACCAACTAGCCAAAGAAAAAGAGGCAGCCTGCGCAAGGGAAAGGGAACTAGCTAAACAAAGGTAAAGAGCTTGCTTATAAATGATTTAAATACAGGTAAAAAGTTTTCTTACAAATGATTATTTTTTATTGTAGTGTCAGCATTACTTATTCAATTCATTAATTGTTTTAAAAAGGAGGAGATATTGAATTGAAAGTGGAGTTTTACTGTTGCATTAAGAAGATGGATTGGTGTATTTTGTGTATAAGTTGAAGCAAATAAATTTCCTTTGAACTTAACAGATATGAAAAAGAACTACAGAATGAGGAGGAGGCGTACCAGCAGCAGAGGCGTCGCTTGTATCAGGAGGTACAGGAGGAGAAGGAACGCGTGTCTCAGCAAGCATCGCGACAGCGCACCGAGCTGGACAAGCTTCAAAGACAGCTGGAGGACAGCCACGCTTTAGCTCTGGCTGCCATGAAGTCTGAATTTGAGAAAGCTAGGGAAGAGCAGGAAAATAGACACAATGTACAATTACATCAGATACATAGGAATCAAATTCTCCAACTTGACAGAAATCATTTTGAAATATAATAAATTTATGTTTGCTAAGCACAATGTTGCTTTGAAGAAAAATATATAATCATGTATTAGGGCTGAAACGATACGCCCCCTCCGTGATACAGTACGTATCGTGATACTTGTGTCACAATTCAATACATTTTAAAAAAGAAACAAATCATGAAGTTAAAGAAAACATGTATTCAGATTTCAAAAGGCAAGTAAAAGGTGGTGATAAAATAAAGAGCACTACTTGTGCTTTTGTAAATTAAAAAAGCATTTTGTTCAAGTCAATACTAGCAGTGGCAACCTGCTCTGAAACTTTCTCTGTCACAATTTTCTCCCTTGTGTGTGTCAAACTATCAAAATGAGGTTGAACCCCATGTATTTCAAGGAGTAACCAAACCCGATTATTAAAAAACTTAGCGAACCGAAAATTGAGAGAGTGAATCGAACATTGAACTGAGCATAAATATTGAACAATATCAATATTTCAGTGAATTGTTTCAGCCCTATCATATATATTTTTTCAAATACTGAAAGATTAAAAATTATGATTTAGACTGAAATTCGAGAACTAAAAGAAAGGCTAGCTGTAGAGAAAGCCTCATGGGAAGAAAACTACATGAAGAAACAGGAGACATGGATGTTACAGAAAGAACGTGAACTGAAGGACCAGGTGAGACGAGACAGGGACAAGGAGATTGAGTTTGTTATCTCGAGATTGGAGGAGGATGCCACTGCAAGCCGTGAGGAAACGGAAAAAGCTGCAGATAACAAAATCAGGTGGGTGTGTAAAAAGTGTGATGAATGGGAGACAACTCTGTTTTAATAGAGAGTGTTCCATAGTGGAACAAAAAACCAGTGTAGTTTTTTCATATAACTCAATTATATGAATACTTTAAATGTAATTTTTGTAACATTTTGTACAGATTTATATGAACTATGCAGTTGCTATTTAATGAGATCTGTTTTCTAGGAGAATCAGAGAGAAGTATGAATTGGAGATGAAAGACCTAGAAAGATCAGAACAACAAGCTCTTGAAAAATATAATGAGATGAAGGTTGGGAACAGAAGTTAAGCTGAAGGAGTAATAAATGATTATTTTACCCTAGTTTTTTTATTAACAATTTAGAATAACTACTGTTCTACGTGATTTTTTAGGCTCGGTTGACAGAAGTGAGTGGAGAGAATGAATGCCTGGTGGTCAAACTGAATCAAAAGGATCAAGAGATAGAAAATTTACAAGAGGTAGGGGCTGACAAGCTTCAAATGGTGTCACACCAAAAAAAATGTAGGCAGTTTTAATTTTACTCATGATTTCTTATCATTTTCTTCAGTGTTTTTAACAGAATTGGTTTTCCTCCCTTTTCACAATTAATTCAATGGTGAGTTTTAACTTACTGCAAAAATAGCAAAAGGAAAATTACATCCAGAAAAAATGAAGCTACATACATGTACATGTATGTTCATGAATGCAATACATTGTATTAGCTACCGGTAGTAGGAAACATACAATGTATATTTACGTATGTTATTATGCTACAGGTGTAGTATACATATTCTAGAAATTAAATAAATCATGAATGTTATTTAACTATATTTTTTTGTGTTGCAGCTTACAGACAAAATGCACAGAGAGCGTGACAGAGTTTCAGACATAATTCGACAGGAATTTGCAGACAGACTGGTGGCAACAGATGAAGAAAACAAACGAGTGAAAAATGAAATGTCAGAAATGAAGGCAAGACATCGGATAGAGCTGGATAGATGTAAAGAACAGATAGAGGATGTACGTAAACAGAAAGATGAGGAAATGGAAGAAGTCCACAAAAGGTAAGGCCCTCCGCAAGGATTCATTTTTATGGCATCGAGCTCTTGAGCTCGAATGCCATGTAGTGGGCGACAAAACTTTACGCGACCGAAGGTGTCAGTCCATGCATCCGCAAAAGAAAATAGCAATAACAATGCATCGATTTCTTTGAAATATAATAATAGCTTGAAAATAAAATTGCATCAATTATATCTACAAGTAATTTGTCACATAACAAAGATACCCTGTTTTAATTTTTATTTTCACACAAGAAAAACGTGACAGTTCTTGCGTATGAATTTCTAAAGAAAGGCTGTGTTGAATGACATGAATAACATTTACGAAGGAGAACCATGTAAACACAAACAACTTATATTAATACGCGGTAAAATAACCACAATATTAAATTAACACGAATGCTAGAAGACTAAAAGAATTGAATTTCCAACTGTAATCCTTAGTTTTTTAGGTCACCTGAGTCACTCAGGTGACCTATTGCTATCCGTTTTTGTCCGTCGTCGTGCGTCGTCCGTCGTGCGACGTGCGTCGTGCGTTAACATTTAAACATTTTCAGCTTTTTCTCTGAAACCGCTCAACCAATTTCAGCCAATTTTGGCATATAGCATCTATGGGTGAAGGGGGACAAAAATTGTGAATTTCATGGTCCCTGCCCCCCTGGGGCCTGAGGGGTGGGGCTAAAACCACCAAAATTAATGCAATCTTTAAAAATCTTCTTCTTTACTCCTGGACATCAAGCAGTCAAACTGTTGACATGATTGTAATAAGCATTGAGCCCTCTACCAAAATTGTGAAATTCATGGCCCCAGGGTCAGGGGTTCTGGTGCTAGGGCGGGGCTATATAGATCATATAGTGAAAGTGCATTATTTCTTTGAAAATCTTCTTCTCTACCCCTGGGTATTATTGAACAAAATTGAATACATATTTATGATAAGCAAGAGTGACTTTACCAAAATTGTGAAATTCATGGCCCCAGGGTCAGGGGTTCTGTTGTTAGGGCGGGGCTATATAAATCATATAGTGAAAGTGCATTATTTCTTTGAAAATCTTCTTCTCTACTCCTGGGTATTATTGAAACAAATTGAATACATAGTTATGATAAGCAAGAGTGACTCTACCAAAATTGTGAAATTCATGGCCCCAGGGTCAGGGGTTCTGATGCTAGGGCGGGGCTATATAAATCATATAGTGAAAGTGCATTATTTCTTTGAAAATCTTCTTCTCTACTCCTGGGTATTATTGAAACAAATTGAATACATAGTTTTGATAAGCAAGAGTGACTCTACCAAAATTGTGAAATTCATGGCCCCAGGGTCAGGGGTTCTGGTGTTAGGGCGGGGCTATATAAATCATATAGTGAAAGTGCATTATTTCTTTGAAAATCTTCTTCTCTACTCCTGGGTATTATTGAAACAAATTGAATACATAGTTATGATAAGCAAGAGTGACTCTACCAAAATTGTGAAATTCATAGCCCCAGGGGCAGGGGTTCTGTTGTTAGGGCGGGGCTATATAAATCATATAGTGAAAGTGCATTATTTCTTTGAAAATCTTCTTCTCTACTCCTGGGTATTATTGAAACAAATTGAATACATAGTTATGATAAGCAAGGGTGACTCTACCAAAATTGTGAAATTCATGGCCCCAGGGTCAAGAGTTCTGGTGTTAGGGCTGGGCTATATAAATCATATAGTGAAAATGCATTAATGCTTTAAAAATCTTCTCTACTCCTGGGTATTATTTAAACAAATTAAATACATAGTTATGATAAGCAAGGATGCCTCTTCCAAAATTGTGAATTTCATGGACCCTGGATCAGGGGTTCTGGTGCTAGGGCGGGGCCATATATATCCTATAGTGAAGGTGAATTATTTCTTTAAAAATCTTCTTCTCTGCGCCTGGGTATTATTTAAACAAACTATTAGTACATTGTTATGATACGCAAGTATGCCCCTTCCAAAATTGTGAATTTCATGGCCCCAGGGTCAAGGGTTCTGGTGAAAAGGGGGGGGGGGGGCTCTATTGATTATATAGTGAAAAAGCAAAATTTCTCTGAAAATATTCTTTTCTGCTTCTGGTTAAAAAGCAAAGAAGCTAAGTGTATAGTTATGATGAGCATGATTACTTCTTCCAGAGTAGTGAATTGCATGACCCCTGGGTCAGATGTGCTGGTGTAAGGGTGGGGCTCTTGATAATGTAGTGAAAATGCATTAATTCTGTTAAATAATCCTGTCTGCTCCTTAGTGTTAATCAGATAAACAAAGTGATTACTTACATGTATGATGAATAAACTTCTGGTCCCAGGGTGAGAGACTCTGGTGTTTCTCGGTGGGGATGGGAGGTGGGGGGGGGGGGGGGGGGGCTGGGGGGCTCTATTGATAATGTAGTGAATCTGTAGTAAAAACTGCATTATTTCTTTGAAAATCTTCTCTGCACCTCGGCATATCAGAGGCAAAAAGAGTAAAAGTTTTGATAAATATTTTTGAACATCTGGGCCATTTTGTCAAGTGTTCTGGTCCTGGCCAGGGCTCTATTAATTTGTATTCTACTGAGGGGAGTTATTCCCCTTTGCCATTTACTTTTGATAATTAGTCACTGTAAATAATGTACTTGAAAGGTTAATAGAATAAGAGAATTTTGCAAGATTTTTTATTGTATAATACAAAAAGTACTTTCATAGTTTTAATGATCAGGTAGACTTGTAAGTAATAGATAAATAAAAATGAGACAAAAATAACTTGTCTTGTTCAATGTTCATCAAAGACCAAGAGAGTCCAATGTAAGAGATTTCAACAAGGAATTAAAATAGTACAGAAGCATTGATAGTTTGTTAATATACTGTATGGTGATAGTGATAAATGGGGAACAGATTAGAACCTAATTTATGAACTGTTAATGAACACTAGATTAATTATTTTGTTGAACCTGATCACCCTATTTTTCTTGCTTTTGGGCAACAAAGCTTCACTTTTCAGTTCATTTTATACTCTATGGATTCTCTAAATTGTTGTATTATACTCAGGTGACCGTTAAGGCCCTTGGGCCTCTTGTTCAATCTTATAACCAATTTTATCATAAAACTGAAGTTATTACTGTATCTCACCGTTTCTTCCATATCGCATTTTACTGTATAGGCCTACCACGCCCGATCATATCTCGATCATAATTGCAACAAAGCGAGTTACGTTTGTTGTTTAGATGCACTAAAACAATGCTTAGACATTGACAATTAAAATAATATTCATATAAATTCATTAAACCCTTGATATTTCTTTAATTGACTGAAAAAGATGAGTTTGATATCCAGCATGAATATGATCGACGGTGTCTAGTCAATTCGAACCCTGCTCTATTATTCGGACCATGGCATAATGTCCCAGACTGTAAATTTGACATTTTGTTTAAAACTTAACATTTTTATTATTTAATTATTTGACCTACTGCTATTTTTGAATTAAAAAAAATGTTTTGAAATTGTTTTTCGTGTTCGATGCCATTGAAGCCTTTCAGGCTTTTGATTATTCTATAAATATAGTTCAACTGCAGTTGTTCAATTTTTGTAGCTTATTTCATATGGCAATTGACATTGAACTTAAATTGCAAAGAATATTGCAATTGACCATTTTCAAGGTAACAAATTGGTGTGAAAAAGTTCCAACGGTAAAATAAAATAGAAATTCAATGTATTAAATCCCTTTGAATTTGAACTGCAAAATTTACTTGTTATTCTAAGTTTTAATAACATTGCATTGCTGGGATGGTCTTAAGTGTCTCAGTACATGTACCATAAGATAGTTATAGACATTTATATACATGTAGTAGTGTTAAAAAGTTTGGTACACAGACAGGTTAAACTGGTAAAAGTTACATGTTATTGGAATTACTTTTGAAGTAATTTGTTTTAAATAGGAGTCCTGAAATACGAGGACTGTACTATTGCAGAATAACTTCTTATTATACTGTAAACCAACTTTTATTCGCGTGCCAGAAATATTCGCGAGTTTCGCAACCTACTTTAACTCACAAATATTAATTGCCGCGAACAATTTATTTTGCTTTGTATATGTATAAAATGTTTTTCAGTTGCAAAAATTAATTTCGCAGATCGGTTTCGAACTGACAAATCGCAAAGAAAAGATGACACGAATAATAGTTGGTTTACAGTATCTAAGTTCTTGGTACACGTGAGTACATCCATAAAAGATAAAGAACTGCATTTGTATTTATTAGGGTGAAGCAAGCCATTGTGAAGAAAGAAGATGTGGTGACCCAGTTAAGAGAACAGTACAGCGCGGCCCAAAAGAGGGCGGACCACCTCGAGGGTCTCCTCCAACAGCAGAGGAAGCAGTTATTAGGCAAAAAATAATGATAATAATAAAAATAGATCTCATGCTGACATTCAAAGCCATTTCAAAGCTTTACTGACATGTTGAACATCACAGGGAAGTGATAATGGAAGATAACTTATTAAGAGATGATGTTGCTCTTGACAAGATATCGGACAACATTGTTCCCCCAGAGTTGTTGCTTTATGACATGATACAAGGATAAGCCACCAAGTCTCACTGTAAACCCACATAGAGACATACAGCCACAAAGGATTGTGTTCCAGAATGGATCTTTTTTCTATTTTAATTATTTTAGGTAAATTGTAGAAACCTGTATTAGAAAACGTAATTTAATTTTAGTATAAATGGAAGAGGTACTGTACAGCAGGAAATTAACTCGCGGAGTTAATATTCGCTATATTAGCGGAATTAAAAATTCTGCTAACTCAACCTACAGTGAATAAATCTTCAAAAATTGATAAGGATAAATTGAAATATTACCGATTTCTGTGATTAGATTCGTTAACTCTATTTGTGTTTCCTTGCAGAGATGTAGACTGTCTTCCTAATTATGCGGGTGAACGGAACATGCAGTTGTTGTTTTTTTAAAGCCTAATTGATAAATAAACATCTATAACTAACATTTAATTCTGCCACCCAGTAGAGGTGTGATGTAATTATCTATAAAACATGTTAGATTTCACCTGCGTGCGTATCAATCAGTCTTATTGTCTTTAATCAAGGCACTTACTTAGTAAAGACAACACTAGTAGGTGTGTTCCCGTTTTGTACACATTTGATAATTAGGTATAGAACAATAGGTGTGAAATATGTTTCGATAGCAATTATAGTCTGAACTTAGTCTGGTATTTAATCAGGTTCAGAATCGACACCATACGTGAGGACAATACTTGCAGTGCTGAAAAAGTTTTTGTGTAATTTTTCCTTTCCGTGAATTCAAATGACCGCGATTTGATGCAAATTGAACAAATTGCAATCTTTTCCGACCACGATTTTAACCTGCTGTACAGTAGTTGTGGCTTAGATATTTCACTGAGATGGTGTTGAATTATCATGATCAGTTTCACCAAGTTCAAGTAAATTAAACATATTTTTGCATGGATTAAAATCAATGTACAATGCATAAATGAGAGGAGGTTCATTCAGTTTCTTATGGTGAGTTGCTGCCCTGTAGATGCACATGTGTATACATGTACAGGTGTAGTAGGACATTTTAATCAAGAAACATGGACTTTCTAAATATAATATTTTTTTACCTTCATACATGAACTTGTAATTATCTTAAAGTGCTAGTATGTTTCTACCTGAAATGTTTAGTAGACATTTTTTTTTCCCACATAGGAAATGTAGGACAATTATAATTGGAATTTTTATGTACCCGTATTTCAGTTTGCTTTAATTTTAGCTCTTGATGTTATACCAATGAAATGTGATGTGAACTGTAAATCCATCCAAACTCAAATCTGTGATATTATTTATTTCATCTGAATTTACATGTGTATAGAAGCAGAAATTCTCCTTTGTTGAAATGTTTTGACTTTATACAAAAAATCTTAATTTTTTGGTCTCTTAATTGCTAATAAGTAACAACCATTGGTATCCCTGGTAACATTTTTTAAGGATTTAATTTTATTGTAGAAATTTATCCACAAAAGAAACAGGAATTATCCTGCTTCTACAGTATTAAGTGTCTGTCAGAATGGAGTTTGTGTGTAAAGATGACCTCTGAGCAGTATATATATATTATTTACCATAAATCTTGAAAACTTTTCTATGATGGCTTCTCATCTGACAGTATTTTTTCTCCTTTTAATGTTACATAACTCGTATTCATTCATTGATCTGAAGATTTGAATCTCTGATGAATCCCTCCCTTCATACTTTAGATCCATTGTAGGGGGAATGTTGTGGTTTATTGAACGTTTCAAAATTGAACTAGCTTTCAAGAAATATTCATAGATAGTTTTATGAATGAAATGGTTGTACTCAAAACTTTGCACATTCCAACTTATATCCAAAGGATTTTTCCTTCAGAGATATTTCAGTGGAATAAGGTAACTTTGTGTTGTTTGATGAACATTTTGTTATACTAATTATTTACTGACTAGTAGTTTTTTTTGTGAGTAGTTGGATGCTGGCCTAAATAAACATTTTGTTATGTTTTAGACAACAATAAATTACAGTACAGTATTAACTTTGATGTCTCTCTTGCTCCCACATGAGCAGCTATACCAATTTGCTGTCAGAGAAGTTGGAATAAACAAACGTGACTGAGCAGATGATTAGAAGTAAATGTAGAGACACTGAGCAGATGAAATACATGTAAATGTGTACAGTCACTGAGCAGATATAATAAACGTGCACAGTCACTGAGCAGATTTAAAAAAACATGCAGTCACTGAGCAGATGAAATAAACATGCACAGTCACTGAGCAGATGAAATATACAGTCATTGAGCAGATAAAATAAATGTGCAGAGTCGCTGAGCAGATAATGTCTATATACAGTCCTTGTGCAGGTGAAATAAATGTGCAGTCATTGAGTAGATAAAAAAGCACAGTCACTGAGCACATAATTGTGACTGGTTACAGTAGCCTAGTGGTAAGGCATTGACTTTGTGGTTGGGAGGCCTGGTTTCGATTCTCATTTACTATGCCACGTCAAACCTACAACATTAAGCATATGTAGTGATTGTTCCTTCACCAAGTGCCTGTCACTAGACATGAAAGTCACTGCTATTTTGGATGAGACCATTAAAACCCAGGGCTAGTGTCATGGTAGGCATTGGCACAATAAAGAACCCTCACTGCTCAATGGCCTTGAGTGCTAAGTATAGGTCTAAATTTGGAGTCCTTCACTGGTATATGATGACGTCTCTATTTGAGTGAAAAATTCTTTAAATGGGAAGTAAAACAATATACAATCAATCAATCATAACTGTGTACAGTCACTGAGGTGGTGAAATACATGTACTCAAGAAGAAGTTGAAAATGTGTAAAGTTTACAGACAGATGGGGGCTGAACAATGGGTGATAAGAAAAGCTTACTTGAGTTTATAGCTCAGGCCTAAGGTTATTGAAGCAGTCTTAGATTTAGTCACAATTGGTACATCAATTTCATAAAGTTTAATGTTTTTAAAAGTTGTTTCCCTTTGACGTTTTTCAAGTGTCAGTTTATATCAAATTCTCATGTTATGAATGACTGAAATTTTTTTACCTAATTCTAAGACTGCTTCATAATCCTGGGGCCAGATGAGCTAAAACTGGTAAAAAATAAATAATTAAGAGAGATGTTTCTTGCATCATATACTTTAATTCAGGCAATCAACAATATACACATGCTGTATAAAATACTGTTAAACTTGAATCAAACAAAAAATCTTGTTTAAAAAAAATAATAAGATTTGACATGATGGACATAAATCTTCAAACTGTAAAGTTTTTGATTATTCAGTTGGAACACTTCCAGTATTAATCTTTCCTAAAATATTCCTATATGTATTTTGTGATTATTAAATATACTACTAAAGGAAGCTGAGAGGTGGTGTCTTACGTCATTGATGCTTGCATGTTAAACCAACATGTTACAAGACTCGGTAATCAACCAAAAAAAGAAAGGTTTATCACAGAAATGGGGTAAATTCAGCACAATAAAGCTTAATTAGATAGTGCAATGAGTGAAAAATGAAATTGATATAAATATATTGCACACAACCTTAAAATGCTGTGAATATAAAAATAGTTGACATGCATGCATATTGCAGCACTTTTCCAATACCTTATTTCCCAGTTCACATATAAAGTAAGAAAGATGAAAGTACTACTTAAAAAAAAAATTACAGAAAGAGGGTCCTTACCAAATGTTAAAACAAAATTCCAATCCTCACCCAATTTTTAACGACAAAAATTAAATTTAAGTAAGTAAACTTTTAAAGACAAAGATTTAATTTATGTATGTCATGTATGATGAAGTACCCTACTGCTGCACATTTTAATTAAAGTTCACATCTGGTGAACAAAAGACTGATTGCCGTAAGAGACCTGATTCATGTCTATATTTAACTGATCAGAAAATGACATTTTCTTTTTAAATTCCAGTGTTTGACATGATAGAAATGTCTGTTTAGTCTAAGTTTATCCAGCTATTTTCTGGATATTCTGTTTCTATTGCTGTTTAGATTTCAGGGGAGGAAGTTCCCGAGATAACAGCCTGGACACCATCCAGTCCATCACAACCTCCGGTAAAAAGGAATTCAGCCGGGCCAACATCTGAAAAAAATTTTTAAATATTATAATTAAAAAGTGAAGCACTGCTCTCTTGAAGAACATTTCATTGATTGTTCTCAGTGGCCTGACAATTAGAGAGGTTTTGAAGTTATCAGGGTATCAAATTTTGAATTCATTTCAGAAATAATGGACAAACTAGGTCTTTATTCAGAATAGCTCACTAGAGCCTTTGACTTATGTATGTAAGACTCTGAAAAAAATGACCTTGACATTGAAGCTCTGACCTTTAAAGTAAAAATTACATTTACACTATATTTTGAAGAAAAATACATGTATGTCTTAGAGAACCTTGATTTTGAATCATGCCCTCAAAAATTTCCAAGAACCATTCTCTTTAGTTGAGCATTAACTCAACTTAAGGTCAGATGACACATTCTTCAATGATATATAATTTTTTCCAAGAATTTGTCCTTGAAGTTTTGCTGCTTTAACAAGTTTCCTCACAAAAAATTGAGGTACCTTACCAGGCACTTATGCAAGAGGATGGTGTTTCCTATATAATCCCATTTGAACTCTTTGGTTTGCCAATATCACAACATTTTTGTGTCTTTACCTTTTGACATTTTGAAAACAGTTTAAAATCACAAGATAATGATAATTATAATCAATTTCTTGTATATTATGAAGAGATACAAAACAGATATTGGAGCAACATGTCATCAGACCTTAAAGTCTAGATACCATCTGGAAGCGAGTTTTCAGCTCACCTGAGCCGAAAGCTTAAGTGAGCTTTTCTGATTGAAATTTGTCTGTTTTTGTTGTCTGTTGTTATTGTAAACCTTTCACATTTTCATCTTCTTCTCAAGAACCACAGGGCCAATTTTAAAAATGTATGATCCGATCTCTTTAATCTCAAAAAATTAAGATTTACCACCATCATTTATTTACAGTGTGAAAGGTTCTAACTTTCCAAAAATTATACACTCTAGTTCGCACCTGTTCCAGAGAAAAAGAAATTAAAAAGTTATATAAAAAAAAAATTATTAAATACAAGGACTGCTGATAAGCACATGCGCACTTACTAGTTTCGGTTCTAGCTTCAGTCGTAAACATGAGATTTCACAAGTCCATATTAGGAGGTGTGGAAAGCTGGTTAATATATTATATTGGTATATTTCTACCTTATTGAATAAACAATTTATTTTGAACATGGTATGAGGTAAATAGGTGGTTAACTATGAAATTGTACCAGTAAACAAATGCATGTGTTTTACCTAAAGATCACGCAATCGTTCTTGAAAGATCTTTATGCTGAATATTCAAGAGTTTTTGTTTGTAAGTCAAAGAATTATTTCTCTAAATTACAACAAAGGCACAAAACATGGATAAGCGGAAAGGATATTTTTCATCATTTTAAGATATGATAAACTAATTTCCATAGTTAAAAGTACATTATACTCGCGGACCATACAGCTTTAAGCAAACTTGCCACAAAGCATCCTTGGGTGAAGGCAATTCAGTTGTTTAAATGAAGGGCCATGCCCTCTTTCTAGGGGAGATACTGTTAATAAAGAATTATTAAAATTTAATGGCATCTTTCAAAAATCAAGAACCACTGGGCCAGAAAAGTTGAATTTTATGAAAATTTTGTTACAAATTATAGATTCAAGTTTGTTCAAATCATGACCCCTGGGGGTAGGTTGGGTCTCACTGGGCAATCAAAGTTTTACATAGGAATATATAAGAAAAGATCTTAACAACTGTATGGATGCATCCTCAGGTAGTGTAGATTCAAATTTATTCAAATCATGACCCCTTGGGGTTAAGGTGGGGCCACAATGGGCAATAAAAATTTTACATTGTATTATATAGCTAAAATCATTAAAAATAACTTCTTCTCAATAACTATATGAAGTATGAAGTCTATACAGCTATAGTTTTAAAAGTTATCACTGGGAAACCAAGAATGAGCTCTTGTCCAACTGCCATCCAGGTCAGATTGCCCCTTCCTCATTATGCAGGGTTATCCCTAAAAATTGAAATAGCAGGGAACATTAAAAAAGAAGAAGGGGTCAGAGGTTCCTCCCCTAACTTTAAGGTGGAGGGGAATACCAGTATACGGGGGGGGGGGGGGGGGGGGGGGGATTACATCATTATAGGTGGGAAAATTCCCCAGCCCCGGAGTCCTAGAGACAACCCTGTTATGGTATACTCCCACAACTTCATTAACAGGGTAAATGTACAGGGATAATAAGAAAGGAGTAACTTTGCCAATTTTACAATACTCTTTTCCTTCTGACTTAATTGCAAAATGTTTACCCCCAGAGTACACATTGTTAGAGAAAAAATATTTAGGAATTCTGAAACTCACACAGAATACATCAAATAAGCCATTTCCTCCATCCACCAAGTAGCGAATTCTTGGGCTCTGGTTGATGACAGCATCCTCCAAGGCATCTAAGACAGGGGCCAGGGTAGGGTAAGATGTACTTGAGGTCCCCTTGGCTCCCTCAAACAAACAGTCCAAGTATTCCTTACCATAGGTTTCTCTCACCTCCTCTCCAGCCTCAGTCCACATGGTGTTAAAATCTCTCTTCATTATAGCTAACTGTTTAAAATTGTATATAGTTTAGAAATTTTGTATAAGATAGGCCCCATGCATAGAAAAATATTTTTATAGGACAATAAACAACATCAAAAACAGATACTCCCAAAAACCATCTGGTTTAAGCAAGTACATATTTTTCCAGTATTACACATCAAATTTTATGCCTATCTTCTAACTTTGCTCTCAAAAATGTAACCTTGAAGCTAAAATTTATTTGTTGAATGATATAATATCTGACTTCAATAAAACTTACTGATTTTTCATTCAACATTCCGGTTGCCCCTCCAAAGTTTCCTGGCTCCACAATCACCACTTTCAGCCCAAACTTTCTCATCTCAATCCTCAGACCATCAGAGAAAGCTTCTCCTGCATACTTAGCCATGGTGTATGCTGAAGCCACAGGAAACACACAGCGCCCTCTAACACTGGTTACATTCACCACTCGACCTATATAGAAAATACCCATTTATATTGCATCTACAAGTATTGAGTTAAATAAAAAAGTATTTAAAATCAAATGCAAGACAATTTGTAGAAAACTAATGCCAAAATTAAGATGAAGAGTTCCTCAATTTCTAAGAATATGGTAAATGGAGAGACTACCTTTGCTCTTCCTCAGAAGTGGTAGGAAGGCTTTTGTGGTCCTGACCATTCCAAATAAATTAACATTCATAATTCTGTGGTACATATCCATGGTACAAAAGTCAATATCTCCAAGGAAATTGACTCCTGCATTGTTGACTAATGCCCACAACCCTTTCAGGATAAAAACAACAACACTTAATTTGATTAGTATTACCAGTAGCATATTGTAAACATCAAAGCTGTGTGATATTATACTACAAATACAGAATAAATCATCAGATGTGAATATATTCTTATATCATGAGGTTATAAATTGTTAACTTCTAACATACAAAAATCTAAACAGTCTTGACAAAACTAACAACGATCACAGGTGTTCTACGTCTCATATACAGTCAACCCTTGATATCTTGAACTCAATGGGACTGAGAAAAAAACTTAGACATATCCAAGGATTCGAGATATCCAGGGTAAAATACTTAAAGAATAAGGGGTTGGGACTTTGAAATCACTTGGACATATCCATGGTATTTGAGATATCAGTGTTTGAGATACCAAAGTTCAACTGTATTATTTCTGACAATCACCTGAGTAAAACAAGAGGCCCATGGGCCACAACGCTCACCTGAGTTACTTTTGCCCTGCTGTTCTTCACAAGACCTCCCCTTTGTAATATTTATTGCGACCCCGCCCTACCCCTGGGGGCTATGATTTGAACAATTTAGAATCAACAATACCCAAGGATGCTTCCACATAAGTTTCAGCTTTTCTGGCCCAGTGGTTCTTAAGAAGAAGATTTTCAAAGATTTTGCCTATATATTTCAATGTAAAACTTTGATTCCCTATTGTGGCCCCCGCCCTACCCCCAGGGGCTATGATTTGAGTAATTTAGAATCTACGCTACCCAAGGATGCTTCCACATAAGTTTCAGCTTTTCTGGCCCAGTGGTTCTTAAGAAGAAGATTTTCAAAGATTTTGCCTATATATTTCAATGTAAAACTTTGATTCCCTATTGTGGCCCCGCCCTACCCCCAGGGGCCATGATTTGAACAATTTAGAATCTACGCTACCCAAGGATGCTTCCACATAAGTTTCAGCTTTTCTGGCCCAGTGGTTCTTGAGAAGAAGATTTTCAAAGATTTTGCCTATAGATTTCAATGTAAAACTATGATTCCCTATTGTGGCCCCGCCCTACCCCCAGGGGCCATGATTTGAACAATTTAGAATCTTCTCTACCCAAGAATGCTTCCACATAAGTTTCAGCTTTTCTGGCCCAGTGGTTCTTAAGAAGAAGATTTTCAAAGATTTTGCCTATATATTTCAACGTAAAACTTTGATTCCCTATTGTGGCCCCGCCCTACCCCCGGGGGCCATGATTTGAACAATTTAAAATCTACACTACCCCAGGATGCTTCCACATAAGTTTCAGCTTTTCTGGCCTAGTGGTTCTTGAGAAGAAGATTTTTAAAGATTTTTCCTATATATTTCTATGTAAAACATCGATTCCACATTGTGGCCCCGCCCTACCCCCGGGGGTCATGATTTGAACAATTTAGAATCTACACTACCCCAGGATGCTTCCATATAAGTTTCAGCTTTACTGGCCCTGTGGTTCTTGAGAAGAAGATTTTTTAATGACCCCACCCTATCTTTGTCTTCTCTTGATTATCTCCCCTTGTGAGGGGACTTGGCCCTTCATTTTAACAATTTAAATTTCCCTTCACCCAAGGATGCTTTGTACCAAGTTTGGTCAAAATTGGCCCAGTGGTTCTTGAGAAGAAGTCAAAAATGTGAAAAGTTTACAGACGGACGGACAGACAGACAGACAGACGGACAGACAGACGGACGACGGACAAAATGTGATCAGAAAAGCTCACTTGGGCCTTCGGCTCAGGTGAGCTAAAAAGTAGCAATTTTATCTACTGGTATACTAACCACATCCAGTAGCCCTGTCTGTTTTAGTCACATACTCCAGAGCTGAATTGACATCAGCATCATTTGTGATATCCATCTTCAGAATATGCATTTGCCCTGTGGTACTTTCCTTGAGGTGTTTGGCTCCCTCACACTCCGGATTCAAACAGCCAGCAAAAACTGTGAATCCCATGGCATCAAATCTATTGGCAATGGCATTACCAAATCCTGTAAAAGCAAGAGATGTTTATTTGACATGTTAAAACCAATCCATAGGACTGTAGCTAAGGCTAACCTCAGCATAATACAAAGATGGAATGATGAGAATAAATTAGGGATGTCAATTTTGTCAATAATTCATATTGGAATATTCAATGAAAGTATTCGAATATATTCGATAAAAAAAATAAAATCTGTTTTATTTCAAATATGCGTCATGAAAGGTTAAGCGTAGGTATACTTATATTGGAAGTAAAATTGTATGAAGACTTTTGCAGGTGTACAATAAGAAATTCCATTTGATATTTGTCAATGTTTGAAATAAATAATTGATTTAAATGTAGAAAAGTATAATTTTAACAAATGAAACATGTGTATTTATAGTAGGAACCAGTCGTCTTACCAAAGGCAAGATATAGTCGTAACGGTATACTGTTCACATTTCAATACGTGTAATGAATTACAATTACCTGCCTAATAAGAGATATGATTATAATCTTTGATACAATGTAAACAAATATTTCCATAGAAAATTTTCCTAGGTAATAAACTAATTTCCCGATAATGAATATAAAATTCAGGATTATCTACAACCTGAGATAATCAAGTAATTTACACATTTATTCTGAAATTAAGCCCTTTACAATATTAATTACAGACTAATTCTATCAGATATCCGTTCAATTATCAATTAATTTATACTCTTCACGCCTTTTAGACATTATAAGATTTCATTTTGTTGTCCTCGATTCTAGATCTGATCATATCTTACTAAAAAAAATATGAAAGTACGTTTTGTATTATACATTAAGCATTATTGTACAATTCTTTAACACCTTACTCAAAACAAAATACATGTAATTTAGTAGATCTATAAGATAAGAAAGTGGTGAAAGAAATCAGACAATCGAAATTGATCGCTAGTAAATTACACAGGGATAATTCCAGCACTGTTCTAATAAAAATTTATTAATCACAGTACTTCTTTTTATGAAATCTGAAATTTACCGAATATTCGAATCTTAAATTCATATTCGAATATCAACTCATCGAATGAATATTCGAATATTCATTGCCATCCCTAGAATAAATACAGTCAAACTTCGTTATCTTGAACTTGATGGGGCAGAGGAAAAAACTAATATCCGATATCTAGGATTCAGATTCAAAATATTGAGGTTGAAATAAGTTAAAAAAAGAAGTTTGGACTTCCTACACACTTCAACATATCCATGATATTTGAGATATTGATATCTGAGAACTTCCCTTATCTATGCAGCAGTATTCCAACATCACCTCCATATGGTGTTTATGTCTCCCGACTGATTCGATACGCGAGAGCCATGCTCTGAATATGATCAATTTTTTAAACAAAGGCAAGCTATAAAGTACTGACAAAAAAGTTGATGTTACAAGAATATCAACAACCCCTTTAAGGTCAGACGATATGTTCCTCAAATATCTGTTTTGTATATCTTCGTATTGTGTGGAAAATATTCCAAATTTCAATTACTTTCTGATTTCTAAACTGGTTTCTAATTGTCTTTAAAAAATTGAAACACCAAAAAATGAGTTATTGGCTAATTAAGTTTTTTCCAAAAGGAGTTTATAGGAAACAACATCCTCTGGTATCTTGCACAAATGCCTGGTAAGGTACCTCAATTTTTTGCTAGTAAACGTGTTAAAGTAGCAATACTTCAGTGACAAAATCTTAGAAAAAATTATATATTATTGAGGAACGTATCGTCTGTCCTTAAAGTCAGCTTTTTGCAAATTCTATGGTCTTAATTATGACCTTGTTTATAAATACAACCTATCATTGGGGTCTTATTTTGTTTGCATGTTTCATACCATTTGTAAGCTAGGTCATTGTTTTTATACTAAATTTGACAATAGGTATTCTGTCTACCTGATCTATACATAGGGCTCATGAGAGATGTGACCATGCAGTCAACACAGGATGCTTACTCCTCCTAGGCACCTGATCCCACCTCTGGTGTTTCCAGGGGTCAGTGTTTTGCCCCTTTTATTCATTTGTTTTGTTTCCTGGATTTATGAGATTGATAACTGTTTGTTATCTTCACCTTTTACAGAATGAAGTTCAACTGTAATGAACTAAAAACAAACCAAAACATGTTACCAAACAATTGTTTTTGTTGTTGTTTTTTTACCCACCTGTGTCACAACCAGTGATGAGCACACCCTGTCCTTTAATTTCAATAGGCTTGTACAACAACTTTCTCAGTAATGTTAAGACAGCCAGCAAAATAAGTATTGTCAGCACAATGGTTCCAATGTACTTCTGAGCTACCACTATAGGGATACAGAACAGGACAAACAGGTACATAGACTCAAAGAACTGGAGCCCAATGAACTCAGCTACCCTCATCTCTGGAATTAATCATTTATTTCTCAATAAACAACATTTACGAAATGCAATAGGAATGATGAAGCTAAATAGTTTATATGTCTGCATGCGTTTATAATTACTAGTATTATCTTGAAACATAACTGTGGGTGAATTAAAAAAAAAATGACCACCAAACTGAATTTTTTTGGCAAAATTCAACTACTCATAACATATTTTTCACTTATATCATCATATTGCAAATACATTCTAGTTTAAAATCCTGAAGTGGCAATAGAATAGACAAATGGATTAAAAAGTTTCAGAATTTTTATTAGTAAAATTTCTTTTGAAAAAAGAAAATATCATTACACCTTAAAAGACTTTCTAAAATACATAATCACAAGAAATTATAGTTTTTTATGCTTCAAAATGGTAAAAGGGGTATAAATGATTAAATCTAGACCTTGAATGAGTATCTTCTCTTGTACATATGACAAAAATGTGGCTTTTTGATTTTTATTTTACATTTTTTTTCAATTGTGGTTTGAAAAGTTTTAATAAGAAAAAAATATGAAGCAATAAAATTCCTCAAAATTCACTTTTTTGTCAGTTCAAGTCAATTCTTTAAATCTAAGCCAAAAAAGAATTGTTATATACGAGTTCTCTTACGAAAAATACTAGATTTTGAAGTGACCCTATGTTACATTATTGTGTTGCACTCATGACATCTGATATGTATTTTATTTAACATTGTTTTAAAAATTATAACACACAATAGCCCATTCTTACTTTGTAAATCAATTTGTCATGTTGATATTTTTCATTGTTTAGAGGAGGTTTTTCATATTTTGAAGACCTTAAAACATGATTATTTGCAAACTGTAATATATATAAATTGTATGTAAAATATATGTGAAATGATGTAAACTATTCCCTGAATTGACTGTAAAATTTCTGTAATTTGTTGATAGACATAGTGTTTTGAACATCAAATAGTATCAAGCATTTTTTTTCAACTTATTTTTTAGTAGAGATAGTTAAGAAGCATCGGTAATTATAAAGCAGTTTTGTTGCATTCCTGACTGCAGTAAAGTTTAAAATAAAAACCATAGAACACAAAAATTCATAAAGTGTGGGCAACATCAAGTGGTAATGAAATTGTGCAATATTTATAGTCCAATACTTCATAATTAAAACAGATGAAAGTATTTAAAATTCGCATTTTATCTGGAATTATACCCTATTTTATGCCAAAAAACTAGCTTAAATGTATATTTAGAAGATAAAATGTATTTTAAAGCATATTTTCCTTTAGAAGACAAACACAGTAACCCACTAGAAAAATTCTACTCATCATTTTTTCTTTATTTTTATTCTTATTGGATGATTTATAATTCTAACATATTTGTTGCACTCCTGACCAAAAGCACTGGGGCCTTTAAAGTAGAATTGTGAAGTGAAAATTACATAAGAACTTGTTCTGTTGTTTCAGTGAAGTTGAGGAGGAATTACTTGAATTTTATGACAATGTTTTAGTGTGTTTATTTTTTACGTTCATTAAAAAAATTACAAAAAAGATAAAAACACATCTGAATTGATAAAATTGAAAAAGGAAGGATTTTAATAATAAAACTGTCAATAATTTAGCATTAAATTATACAAAAAGATCATTATTAATTAATGAATACTTCTAAGCATGAATAGAAGTCTTTTCGTCACACAACTTGAATCTTTAAAAAAATGTGTTGCACTCCTGACCATAGAAATATGGATCTGAAGCACAGACACATCCTGTAATTGATAAATCTATTTGGTAAAAATGTTCTTTGTGTCTTTATTTTCCAAAATAAAAATCAGATAATCATATAATGATAACAGTTTTTTCATGCTTGGGAGCAAAACATCAAATGTTGCACTCCTGACATTTTTGGGTATGCACATATAATTGACTCTCATTAATGCTGCTTGTGATTTATATAACATTTTTAAGTTTTAAAATGTAAATCAGTTATTATTTTACACTTCCAAAATTCTTTTTTGTCTTAATTTTCTATCAGAATTTTACAATTGATGTTTTTTTTGGCAACACTACATTTTTTCTGTTGCACTCCTGACATGGTATAACATTTTTTTAAACATCAGCCATGACCACAACCTGATTAAACAAAAGTTATGACAGTCTACATTTAAAGCTCAATACTTTGAATATTATCAGGAAAGTCTTTATTTTCAACATGAAGCATTATTTTTTATTTCACAGAGCTCCAAAAAATATTGAAATTTCAAAATGTCACAAAAAGGTGTTGCACTCCTGACAATTTTAGCATCATTTTTGGGCATAACTTTTTTGTTAATTGAGATATCAATGAGATATTTGGCAGGTATTTAGACACTATCTAAAGACATATGCTGAGACATAGAAATCTATTTTCATTGCCTGTATTTTTAGTGTGGGTTGATAAATATGCGTTTGGTCATTTTTTTGAATTCACCCTTGTATAACTTTTTCATTGAAGTTGAATGCAATTCTGTTCTTTCCATTAATCATTATTATCTTATAATGACATTCACTCAGGGCCAAGACACATCATCACACTCTCTTTACAAGAAACTTTTATCTTGAAAACATCAACATGTGATTTTTTTTAAAATTATCATAAAGTTATTGACCAGACATGAAAGAAGACATATTTCCCATTTGATCATCTACTGTATGATTAAATCAAAGAGTACATGAAGGAAATCTAAATTAAGATATCCCCCCCCCCCCCCCCCCCCCCCCGTGTGTGTGTGTTCTCTGACTTTATCACTGATCTGATGTTTAAAAAAATCCACTCAAGAGAACATTTTAAGTCAAGAAACTTGAAAAATCATAAGAATTCGAGTGATTTAACTGAATCATGATCCACCTGCTTTTATTTGATTTTGACATGTCATATATGAACATGATGAATTCATATGACTGTCATAGAACCTCGTAAAACTATTGTCCTTATCCCAATTTATGAAACGAAACTTTTTATAACAAGAATAATATATATATATATATATATATATATATATATATAACAAGAACAACATACTCGTAAGCCTAGGTGCTACGTGCTCGATCTCCTCCGCTCCTACTTTCACTTTCCGTTCTACGCTTATTCGGAACTTTTCTTGACTTATTCTCTTGAAAAGACGATGGAATCCATTCGGCTAACTTTGGAGTTTATTCATCATAATATTGGAAATAATGTGAAAGTAGAGCTAGGTGTGAACTTGAGTAGAAAATGTAAAATGTGAACGTTTGAACTCAGTTGAAGGATAAAGTCTCCTACTTTTAATCACTGTTCATTTCAAATACAAAAATGAACAAAGCTTGTCTGTGAACCATCACAATCGAGAGCAGTGTTTATTTCTTGGGATTATCTATTTAATATAGATTAACGGTAGGCTCTAGTCAGTCTAGAGAAATATATTTTTCCATTTGAAAGCCAATGTAATTAGTACTGCACATTGTTAATTAGGTTTGGACCAATTGTCCAAATGGAATATGATATCCTGTTTGGGATACAATATCCGAATGGGATATACATTTATTATGTGTTAAAAAAAAATTGGAAATGATAACGACCCAATTTATTTGTTTTTTTTTTAATATAACATCAAAAGCAAAAAAACTTTTTGCAAGCAGATTTTTGAGATTTATCTATAATCCTACAGGTTAGAGATTGATCCCCAAAAATTTTTCGATCTTCTGTGGGATCATTGTCCTGAACATTTTTCTAATGTAAAAAAAAAAAAAAACAAAAACAAACAAACAAGCAAAACAAAAACAATTTTAATGATCTAAGTTGACATGATTATCAGTTTTGGCATATAAATATGATTAAGTATTCAAGTAGCTGTGTCCCTAAACATAATGACTTTTTTTCTCAACTTCTTGATGGAGCTCTTTAAATATTATTTACGCTTGCCTTATATCAAAATTGTGTGAGTGATTTCTCGATTGTGAACCCTATTGACTTACTTATAAAAATGACTAATTGCAATTTTCTAGACTAGAGACTTCATTCTTTGCTTGAATACTCTCTTTATGACAGGTTCTTATACTGTTGATCAGTTAGCAATGTATCTGTATTGTAACTGTACTACATATTCTTGCTATAATCTACTTGGGATAAGGAAGCATTATTATAATTGATTGTTCTTATTAATCAGATTTGTTTTAGTTTGTATACATCGATCTTATCAAGGAAGTGTTCATTAGATAATGACAAAACATATGTATATTTTTTTCTCTGCTTTGTCTTCTTTTTTTTTTTTTTTAGAAAGGATGGTTTTTATTGATGAAGAGGTAGCTTATTTAAATATTAATATAATTGTACACATGCCATTTAAAGGCCCCCTTCCAAATTCAAAGAAAGTACCTTTTTTCCAATTGAATGTGTTAATTTTCCCAATAGTTACTTATTCTCCCAAAAATTAAAGAACAGATTGTTTGATATATAATAATTAAACTTGCTACTCATATTCCTTTGTATTGCAGAACATAAATCAATGCAATAACAAACACCAGAAAACCAGTATATGATGAATTTAATTTAGTTAAAAAGATTTTCCCAAAATTCCCTTAAAAATGTTACTTATTTTCCTAATTTGTATGGCCCCTGCCCAAGTGGGGTCCCAGCAAGTGGTGCAACATGCCTGTTAATACAGTTATAGCTTAGACTTTAGAGATTATTTATTTGGTTTGAGGCTGCATGGAAATGCATTTATAAATCTGTTATGGTCATTCAGAGAACTGACATATTTAAATCCTTGCACAGCTTCTAATGTTTTTAAAAGTCAGGAATCCTTTTTTTTTTTTTTTTTTTTTGGTTAAATATCATTTTGTATCAATATTGGAGTCTCAACTTGGTAATGTCAGTTTATAAAAGTTATTGTTTGTTGCACATGCAAATTGTATCTTTTATCTTTGGAACAGTATGGGGTGCATTAAGTCAGCCTTCCTAAAGATACATTCTTCTGAGTATTAGACAGGTAATATAAGTTTAAAGATAGTGATGCTTTTATTATTGGTGTTCGTTGAACACATAATTTTTGATTGATAAATTGACTGTCACTTTTATTATAGTATTTGTAGAAATTTGATACATAATTGAATACTATGTATTTCACTCTTCATATGCCAGACACCATGTTATTATGTGTCATGTATTAGTTAGGAGCCTGAAACATTGAAATTTTATACTGGAGGAGGATGTTTAGTCACAGTTTCAGAAATTGATTTAAGTACATTCACATAAATATTGTGATCATATAAGCCACTGGACTTATTTGTGCTTAACTGGTATATACATGTAATTTACAAATTGTCAAAACTTTGCAAAAGTAAATTAACTTTTGTCCCCTATATAGTCAGAGTAAAGGTCTAAAGGGAAAGAAACTTTGTTTTTCATCTTTATGCAACCAAAAATTTGAGTGTGCTGGGATAAATTCAATGTGTTTCAAATTATTATGCCCCCGTAATCAAAGATTCGGGGACACATAGGTTTTGTCCTGTACGTCCTTCTGTCTTAGCTAGCTGTCTGTCTGTTAGATCTTTAACCTTGCCCATAACTTTTGATTGGTTGGAGCTATGGCTTTCATATTTCACAGGTGTATTCCTTGTGAAAAGATCTTTCTCTGGGTACCATCATATTTGACCTTTTGACCTTGGAGTTTGACCCAGTTTTGCAAAATTTTATCCAATATTAACCTTGCCATAACTTTTGAACGGGTGGAGCTAGGGCTTTCATACTGAACATATGTAATTCTTGTGACAAGACCTTCCTTTGGATACCAAGAACTTTTACCCTTTGACCTTGACCTTGGAGTTTGACCTACTTTTGGAAAACTTTAACCTTGGCCATTACTTTTAAAGACAGTTGGTGCTAGGGCTTTCATACTTCACATATGTAATTCTTGTGACAAGACCTTCCTTTGGATACCAACAACTTTAACCTTTTGAATTGAACTTGGAGTTTGACCTACTTTTGAAAAACTTTAACCTTGGCCATAACTTTTGAATGGTTGGTATTAGGGCTTTCATATTTCACATGTGTATCTCTTGTGAGAAGGCCTTTCCTTGGGCCTCATTAATTTTGACTATTTGACCATGACCTTGATGTTTGACTCACTTTTGAAAAATTTCAACCTTTCCTTATCTTTTCAATGGTTACTACTAGGGCTTTCATATTTCACAGGTATATTCTTCGAGACAAGACCTTTGGGTACCAACATATTTGATTTGCATTTAAGAAAGTTTAACCTTTGCTCTAAGTTGCCATACAGGGGCATCAGTGTTTCACAAACATGTCTTGTTTTTCTTTAATTTTTGGGTAGGAACATCTGTGGCAATCAGAATATATCTTGCAAACAATTTTTTTGTGTCAGTGACAACATTACGAATCAAAAAGAGAACAAAGGCCATACTTGTGAGAATTCTATGGTTCTTCCCCAAAGATGGCAACCAATGATGCACAGTACTTTTGAAAAGCTTCGATTCTGGGCTACTATTGTCAACATGGTAGAGAAAAGAATCAAGATATTCTGTCTATCTGATCAATACATACATGTATAGGACTCACGGTGAGTGTGACCAGTTGACAGGGGATGCTTACTCCTCCTAGACACCTGATCCCACTTCTGGAATTTCCAGGGGTCTATGTTTTATGCCCTGTTCATAGATTCTGTAGTTCTTTTGAAATTGATGACTGTTCATTATCTTTACCTTTTTCTTTGTTAAAATTATACATGCCCTCAGTTGTCCCTTGATTGGTAAATACAGATGACAAATATTGTTGAGATCTCTCTGCCTCCTATAGGCCTGATAAGCATTACTCTACAAGAGTTGACAGATAATACATGATTTAGTATGTAAGATAAGAGTCTGTGACATGTCACTCTGTCCGATCTGAACCTTTATTGATATTTATTTCAAGTATACAAGATCAGCTGCATAATGGTTAACAACAAATGTTTCAGGTTTCAATGGGTGACTTTACTGGAGAGGAGTTGATCCAGGCTGCCATTTTTAATGATGCAGAGCTGATGAAGTGTCTGTTAGAGGGAGAGTGTGCTAAGTTGATCAATTTTCAAGACCGTCGAGGAAGAACAGCAGTGTACACTTCAGTGTCTAACAACAGTTTAAGATGTCTCCGCGTACTACTGGAACATGGAGGTAAATATCCCAAGTACCTTAATATAAAAAAGAACTACTCGGATAATTTTGTTAGACTCTTGATCAGCTAGTAATACTGATAGCCAGAAGGACAATATCTACAGCTGTGTACAGATTAGTCTTCTCCTAGTTTAGAGATATTATGTTTTAATTATTGCTTTTGTATGCTGTTATTTTGTGCAATTGAAATATGCAAACTTTTAACACTTTGCAAACAAACTTAGGTTGTTTTCTTTTTTATCAATGGTATTTGATACATTTAAGTACATGTATATATACTTATTATAAGTACTTGTCATATTGGTGTTTCCATTGTTCTAGTTTTTGCCATATTCATACAGGATTTACAAGTTTGATCACTGTTCATTATCTTCTCCCTTTGTTTTTTGGAATCAGACAATTCTCTATTAGGAAATATTCATATAACTTCTATTTAATGTGTTTATCTTTTGGACATGTTCTTTTAAACTAAAACTCAGGGTTTAGAAGTCTTTTGATTTATGAAAAACATAAAAAAAATTAATATTTAAGTAAAATAATTTTGAAGCATGGATCACATTGCTATGTGTTCATAGGCATTCATAGGCCATTTTTAGGAATTACACTTGGAGTATAAAAGTGGAAGTTACACTTGGATTATAAAAGTACAAGGTTGCCTCCGTGGCACAGTGGTTGGTGTTTGTTCTAGAGTCTCGGTGTAAGGAGTTGATCCTAATGCTGTGAGACATGGAGACCGGACCTTTAGATGAGACCGTATAAAATGAGGTCCTGTGTCAAAGCAGTTGCTTTCAAAAAAAAGATCCCTCACTTCGCAAAGGCTATGACTGCCGAGTGCAAGTCTAAATTTGCAGCCCTCCACCAGCAAGTGGTAGCATCTCAATATGAGTGAAAAATTCTCACAAGGATTTTAAACAAAATAAAAGTACAAGTTTATCAGCTTATTTTAAAAAGTGGAAAAGATGTATTTCATGATATATTTTTTTCTTTATAGCAGATCCAAATATTGCAGCAGGGGAAACATTCAACAGCATGGCAAGTATTCCACTCCATTCAACTTCCTTAATCTGCATTACATATAATTACATACGCAATTGTCTACATCCATCCAAGTGCTTTGTAGAAACTTCATCATTTTTCCTCAAGGTCATTTTTCCCTAAAGTATGACTGTATTGCCCGACTTTTTAAATCACTTTTTAACTTTAAAACCTGAATCACTCTGAAACACTTTTAGTTAATTCAAAAGGGAAATTGAATTTTAAAATGTTAATGTGATTACATGTAACTTAATTCATTGCATGTGTAATATGAAAACCAGGACTTTCAAAATATGCCGGTACCTCGTACTTTTTCATCAAACATAGCATTGATAATGTCAAAAAGAAGGTCAAATGATATATTTGTTGCAAGTTTTTCCTGCAATGATAATTATAATATGTCCATATTGGTACAATGTGTTCAAATTGAATTTTATTTCAAAAGCTAGAGTGAAAAGAGTCTTGAGTTTGGAAATTTGTTCATTATTGTTTGATTTAAAAAAATTACTCAAATACTAAAGTTGTGTTTTAAAACAAGAAATAAATTTCTTGATAGATCCAGGGAGTTGCAATGGATGCACATACATTAAGCAATTTTGACTGTGAATTTTGTAAAAAAGGCCTCTTTGTATGTACATTTACAGTTTTTTATTCACAGAATTTCTGAACATCCTACCCCAATGGGAGGTTAAAAGGGGGAGGGGGTGTTATAAGATTTTTTACTTGTGTCATAACACCCCCTCCCCCTTATCTATAACTCTACAGACACATACAAAGTTTGGACAAAGCACTCCTGGATGTGTGACTGAAGTTGTATTTGTTAATATTATGTATGCTTAGGAATGTGGACTGCTTGGATACCCTGTAATTAATATTTGAAAACAAATCAATATCAGGAAGTACAAGTAAAACTATTCAGTCAGATAAGTGATTTAAAGATTTTATCAGAAGATGTAAATTATCTACAAGTAAGAAAATTGGTTTTAACTGTCATTGTGTTATGATGTATATTTTTTGTGACAGACACCTCTACACTGTGCCATTATAGACCTGAAGCTTGATATCTTTAAGTTGTTGTTGTCACATGGGGCAGATTTTACAAAACAAGATGGTTCAGGACTGACCCCCAAAACAGTTGCGGAAAATATGGAGTTAGATGAATATGTAGAAGAAATGGAAGAAGAACAAGGTACTGTAATCAGTTATCAGGGTTAGAAGTAATGAAACAATAGGGAAAAAATTCATTGGATTGTGGTAACATAATGCTTTTTCTGTGTTAAGACAGACAGTATGAATTTTATAAGCTAGTGCATATTCTGATAAACTAAAGCTTTTTCCATCTGGATATGTATAGAAATTTCTTATGCTTCCAAGATTGAACTATGTGTGTGTGTTTTTTTTGATTGATTGTTTGTTTGTTTGTTTGTTTTTTTTTTGGGGGGGGGGGGGGTATTGAAATGTATGTGAAGAATTGCATTACAAGATCTAAATAAGAATACATGTATTTCCAAAAGTAAGCTTTAGTAAGAATATATAGAAAAAAAATAAAAGTGTAGTGCAGCCTTTAGCAATTTGATTATGTTGACTAAAATATTGCAAGCAGCTTTGCTAGACCCTTAGGTCTGGTGTTTGTTTCAAGCAACGCTGCAGTAATTTTAAGAAAGAATTCAGATCATGCATGCTATAAAGTGATTCTATTTTATTTTTTCATTTTATTTTTTAGAGAGAAGAGAACAGATATTTGATTCAGTTTTAAAAGGTATATATTTGATTACATATAAATGCATTACATAAAGACTATTCCTAAACTATTGTCTGAAAGGCTAGGGTGTTGTAGTGAGAGAAGTACACATTGCATATGATTGCATTGAATTTAGAATTCTCTACCAGAATCATATAGAAGTGTTACTACTTTAACCAGTTCAAATCAAACATTAGTATTAGAACCAGTGTACTTTTTGTGCTTTGCTAATTTTTACATTCAGAACAGCGGGTTTTATTTCTTGTTATCATGGTGATAAATACTGTGTTTTTTTAAATCTATCTTCCTGGTAATGTAATACTGAAATAGTACTGCCTTGTATATGTTTTATTTCTGTGTTTATATTATGTAATATTATTATGTAATCAGAAAATAGCTCTTTAGAGCTTATGTCTGTTGACAAAATCCAACGGTAAATAAAGATTATTTTCTCTTAAATTTGAACAAGAAATTTTATTGCCCTGTAAGAATTTGTCTTATTTGAATCTATCATATTCATATCATTTTGTTTTGTTGTTTATTTATTTATTTATTTATTTTTGGTGTTAATTCTTTCCACAGCATTTGCTGAAGCTTGTAAAGCTGAAGATGTGTCTAGGATGGCTGATATTTTAGAATGTAACTCCTCACCAACAATCCATGTAAAACTGGTCAGCAATGCTGTGACAGATGATGGGTTAACTCCCCTTTGTTGGTAAAGTCAGTTATTTTATCACTAGTTTATTGGATACCAGGATGTGCCTAATCTTTATTTCCTATGCATTTAATTATTCTTGATATAGAATATTGGGAAATTTTCATCTTTTTTAATTGTATATCCAAAATGCAAATTAAGATCCATTTGCATATTTAAATTAACAACTTCATTCAAAGTTACCTTACTTCTTCAAATTCATGTATATAATATTTGCATGATTGTATGTAATAAGCCCATGGTTAATCTTTATATATACTCAGATGTACAAGTACTTTAGGTTGGAAAGGACGACAGTGAATTTTTTTTTGGGGGGGGGGGGGCAAAATTTCCAGTACCCAGTAAACATAAACATGTGTATACTAAAATAGTTAAGAGAGAAGTACCTTTTTGCTTATTTATATATTCTGCATGTTCCTGGTGAAGGGGAATATAAATATACTGCTTACAGGGCTTGTAAATGTGGCAACATCTCCATGCTGCAACTCCTACTTCAACATGAAGCATCCATCATCTCATGTACATCTCAGGATATGACTCCTATCCATCTGGCCTGTCATTTTGAACACAGCGATTGTGTTCAACTTCTCCTGCAGGTACTTTGGCAACAGAATATAAAGTCAACTATCACTTTGACTTTCTGTAGAAAAGCATGAATTTTTTTTAACTATGGAAATGTTTGGTACTTTAAAAATTGTATTTAAAGACAGTCATGCTACTTCACAGTTAATTTTCAGTCTGATTGTGTGTATGAGTCAAATCATAAAAAAAAATGAAACCAAGTCGTAATTTATAGCAGCCCATAAGTAGTAAGGAGTATTTAAGATGAAGCATTCAGGAAATGTTTGTCTCTCTCAACTTCTTTGACACTAAAATGTCTAAACTTTCCCTCCTTATCAACAAGATTGAAAGTTCAATCAGTATAAGTAAAAAGATCTACAAAGATCTACCCAAACTCTCATTTGTTCTTTGTCTTGGTGAAGGATGTACAACACTTTGTGGGAGATAACTCTTGCAATTTCAATTAAAGTTGGTGAATCTGTTATTTCTTTAAGCTTAAAATTAAATTCTTATTTTTCAAAGTTTTAACTTTGTTTTGCTAATTCAAGTCACTTTCTTAAGTCAATTTTCTTCAGATACATTGCTCTCCTTACTATGTTATGAATGGTCCATGTTGCATAGGGGGTGCGAGGTCATTTTTTTGATACTTTACAATAACTTTATAACTGAAAATCAAAGGGGGGGGGGGGGGGGCAAACACCCTCTTGATCTGCACTTGAAACAATGAAGAAAACTCCTTTGGCATGTAAATTTCTTATGTTTACTACAAATCAGAAACATCCAGATAATTATATTTCATATGCAAGGGGGTAGGGTGATTGCTCTGTATTTCAGAAGCTGCATATATATCATATATGTTTTATAGCATTCGAAAGTTTTAAATCTGTTTAAAAAAACTGATTCAGAACAGGATTTTGTTACCTGTTTCTCATGATTTCTGACAATATCTTCCATTTTAATCATGTATATGTATGTAATGATGTAGAAAATTATTATTTTAACATAATTTGACCATTCAGACAAACAAAAACGTTCAGAAATCGTGTAAATCATGCAAGTTTGAAAATAAATCAGCAGGATTGACATTTAAGTAGTGCTACGATTTATGGATTTATAAGGAATTAAACTTCTAAAATTGACGATAAATTATAATTTTACCATCAATTTTATCATCACATATAATTTTTGATATTTTCTACAGACAATTTTGAATTGATAAAGCAGATTTACATGTTAAAAATTCTCCATTTTCATTTACACCTGCTTTCACCTGAATTATTTCTTTACAGAAATTTCCAATCTATCTTATGTTGAATGATTTGAAAATTTTGATTTATTACGAAATGAAAAATCTGAGTAACCAGGTACTTGATCAGAAAAGTAAGCGAGTAACCAATTATTAAAAATTGTCTGATTTGACAAAACTAATGTATCTAGATAACATTGTGATGCACATGATTAAGCCAGATTTTTGAATTTGAAAAACTTCTTTAGAAATCACATGCACAGAATACTTTTATTTTAGAATCATTATAGCATGCCTGTTGCATTGATGAATTCTCACAAATCTGTCTTGTAAATGTTATATATAAATCAAAGTTTTGATCTCTTTTTTTTACAGTATTGCCCAGACATTGTGCAGAGGAAAATGGCCAATGATAGTTTGGCACTCCATGTAGCAGTAGAGGTAGAGAACCTGTCACTGGTCACGCTGTTACTGACATATGATTATCCAGAGTACGCTTTGGAGGATTTCAAGGAAGAAGGGATGGGAATCAGCTACAAGCTGCCATTTGATGTCAATGCAAAAGATTCAATAGGAAGGAGTCCCTTGTTTTTGGCTGCAGAGAAGAACAATCCAGATATTGTAAGATGTTTACTTAATTTTGGTGTCCAGTTTGAGAAGAAACAGAGAAGATATGAAGGTCGAAGCAGACTGACCAGTGATGTGAGCTTTGAGCCTGAATTAAGAAAAGAACAGTTTGGGAGTAGTTCAAACAGCGGTCCTTTCTCTTCCAATGTGTATCACCCTGTGGATATCAACCTGCAGGGTCGTAATGGTTTTACACCTCTACATGTGGCAGTGAGTAACAGTTACTATGAGGTTACAGATATACTGCTGAAACATAAGGCTGATGTCAACATACTGGCTAACGATAGCGGAAAGCTCATATCCACCCTCATGATGGCCTGTAGGAGAGGAGACAGCATTATACTGGATAAACTGTTCAAGTATGGGGCCGATGACTTAGATAAACAAGTCTTTACTTATGCTGTAGAGAAGAGACCAAAAATGGTGTTCACTTTACTTAAATACAGAACTTGTAAAGATGTGGAAAATGAGTACAAAATCAATCGTATGGATATGAAGAATTTATACAGGAAAATGTCTGAAATTGAAGACAGTTATGATGGGTTGATCTCTCTGAACCTGAATTTTAGGAAAAAGTTTCCAGTTCATCCTGTCCATGTTAAATGGCAGGATCTGCAGCACATTGAGATGGTCAAAGAAGATATGTTGATTGATATCAGCTGTCACCACAACCCTGAGATACAGACCACATCTCTTAATTACCCATTTGCACTATTTGCGATCACTAAGATTGACATCTCTGGAAATAAAATAGGTTCTGTTTTTCCTTCAGTGTTCTTTAAGTTACATTCTTTACATTACTTGAATTTGTCCAAAAACCAGATTAAAACTTTTCCTGATGTGACAAATACTGATGACATCTTTGTTTGTCTAGAAGAATTATTACTTGATAAAAACAAAATTGAGGTATTACCAGACTATTTATTCTCAGTGTCAACATTGAGATATCTTTCAGTAGCACACAACAGTCTGAGAGAATTTTCTTCAGAATTGTGGGACATGCAATGTCTAGCTTATCTAAACCTGTCTGACAATCAGATTGCCTCGCTACCCCAGCCTCGCCCCAAGCACTCTCGTCCCCCATCCCAAGGAAATCCGTCCTCAATCACAAGTTCTTATCCAGAGATACACATCCCTCCAACATTGGTCACACCAACTAAACCAAGTGTGGAAGAGCTTGAGGTCAAACATGCTGTGACCTGGATGTCAGGAAAGGTCGTTGTAATGGACAGTGACTTTGACAGTAGCTCTGGTCCATCAAACAGAGGATTACAAGATCTAAATCTCTCTAAAAATAGACTGACTGAAATCCCTTTCTGGCTGTGTTGTACCTCTCCCTATATGGAGAATCTGAATCTTTCTGGCAATAAGATCCAGTCTGTGGGGGGATTATTCCAGCTTCCTCAGTATCTGAAGACTTTAGATCTCAGTGGAAATAATATACTTGATACAGTACCTTGGCAATCTTCAGAGGACAATGATGGACTATGTTATAATACAAGAAGGTAACAAATTATCATGCTCAAGTGAATTGTGTTCTATGATGAAAATATTAGTAAGAATTCATTTAGATTCTCAAAACAGATTTTGTTTTAAGAATGGATATGTGCCATTGCCTAAAATTTGGTTTTTGATTTATATAACTTTTTTTCTAGTTTCAAGAATTTATGGAGTTTTGTGGACTTAAAATTTAGGGAAAATGTAAAAAAAAAGATGTATTTATAATTTTATTTTGATAACTTCCTAGTGTTCGTCCGACTGGCTCCCCCCATTCCTTTAATTCCTACACCAGCTTCACACAGCTACTGACTTGTGGTCATCGACAACACCGGATTCTGGAACGACTGGACACACTTAACCTTGGCTTTAACCGGAGGCTGGAAAAAATTGTCATCACAAGATTAATAGAGGACAGACAGGGAAGGAACAGTACAGCCAGTGTAAGTCAATAGCACCACCAGTGTAAGTCAGTAGTATTACCAGTGTAAGTCAGTAGTAATGCCAGAGTAAATCTATAGTAATGCCAGTGTAAGAAGTCTAAGTCAATAGTACTACCAGTGTAAATAGTGTAAGTCTGTAGTACTGCCAGTGTAAATAGTGTAAGTCAATAGTACCATCAGTGTAAGTCAATAGTACTACCAGTGTAAGCCATCAGTACTGCCAGTGTAAGTCTTAAGGCTGCCAGTGTAAGTCAAAAGTACTGCCAGAGTACATCTATAGTGCTGCCAGTGTTAGTAGTGTAAGTCAATAGTACTGCCAGTGTAAGTCTATAGTACTGCCAGTGTAATCATGAGTACTACCAGTGTAAGTCAACAGTACTGCTAGTGTAAGTTAATAGTATTGCCAGTGTAATTCATTAATACCATCAGTGTAAGTCAATAGTACTGCCAGAGTAAGTCAACAGTACTGCCAGTGTAAGTCAGTAGTACCACCAGTGTAAGTCAGTAGTACCACCAGTGTAAGTCTATAGTTCTGCCAGTGTAAGTCAATAAGGGGAGGAATGATATATTACCATTGTAAGTCATTAAAGACAGGAATAGTACTTCCAGTGTAAGTCATTAGTACTCATGCCAGTGTAAGTCATTAGTACTGTCAGTGTAAGTCAATAGTACTGTAAGTCATTAGTACTGCCAGTGTAAGTCAGTAGTATTCATGCCAGTGTGAGTCAATAGTACTGCCAGTGTAAGTCATTAGTACTGCCAGTGTAAGTCATTAGTACTCATGCCAGTGTAAGTCAATAGTACTGTGAGGGTAAATCAATAGTACTGTAAGTCATTAGTACTGCCAGTGTAAGTCAATAGTACTGTGAGTGTAAGTCAATAGTACTGTAAGTCATTAGTACTGCCAGTGTAAGTCAGTAGTATTCATGCCAGTGTGAGTCAATAGTGCTGTGAGTGTAAGTCAATTGTACTGCCAGTGTAAGTCAATAGTACTGCCAGTGTAAGCCATTAGTACTGCCAGTTTAAGTCAATTGTACTGTGAGTGTAAGTCATTTGTACTGCCGGTATAAGACATTAGGATTGCCAGTGTAAGTCATTAGTATTCATGCCAGTGTGAGTCAATAGTACTGTGAGTGTAAGTCAATAGTACTGCCAGTGTAAGTCAATAGTACTGCCAGTGTAAGTCATAGGACTGCCAGTGTAAGTCATTAGTATTCATGCCAGTGTGAGTCAATAGTACTGTGAGTGTAAGTCAATAGTACTGCCAGTGTAAGTCATTAGTACTGCCAGTGTAAGTCATAAGTATTCATGCCAGTGTGAGTCAATAGTACTGTGAGTATAAGTCAATAGTACTGCCAGTGTAAGTCATTAGTACTGCCAGTGTAAGACAATAGTACTGCCAGTGTAAGTCATTAGTACTGCCAGTGTAAGACATTCATACTTCCAGTGTAAGTCATTAGTACTGCCAGTGTAAGACAATAGTACTGCCAGTGTAAGTCGTTAGTACTGCCAGTGTAAGACATTCATACTTCCAGTATAAGTCATTTAATGAGGCCCAATCTAGTTGAAAATAATGCAACTCGACCATCTATTATGAAAGACTTTTTTGTCATTTTTTATATTTTGTTTAACAGATAAAGCTGTTTTAAAGGCGATAGAATTAAAAAGTTTTATTAAATGTAGGAAACAAATACATTTCTTCTTTATTGCATTTAACTGACTTGGAGAAAGATTAAAAAATTCAAGCTACTAAGTTATCAACAAAATAAGATAAATATTTTCAAGGAGGAAGAATAGATGCATTTCCTTTTGGCTGCATTCCTTTTTCAAACTCAAAGGTTAAAAAAATAGCATACATTATAATAAACCATTATGTCAGTAAATCCCTAAGAATCTCTTCATAGGAACTGATGATACAATCAAAATAAATTTTGTTAAAAAGTTGTTAATATTAATTTAAATATTTATCATAACAAAACATAATAATTGATAGTACAAGGGGTGATCAAAAAGTTCACGAATTATCTCTATAATTTACAAAACCACAATTCAGATCAGAATGAAATTTGGCACATGTATAGTCATACATATGTTCTATAAATAGCAGATGTTATGTAATGTTCTGGTCCATGTTTTTGACGTCAAAATGTCAAAATGTGAAAATGACGTTAATGTGTAGATTGACTCAGTCATACTTGAGCAACAAAAGGCTGTAAAGTTTAACGTGCATCTTGGAAATTCCTTTGCAGTTGAGCATATAATAATTTGTGCAAGGTTTATGAAGACAATAGACTTGCCAGAAGTTCAATCATTAATTGGATTGATTGTTTTAGTGAAGAAAGGTAGATTTAAAAATGATATTTGTTCTGTTGCCCAGTGAAAGCACGCTGGTGAAAGCAAGCTGACATGATGTATCCTTGGTTGAGCAATCTGTTATGAAAGATCGCCAAGTTACAGTTAGAAAAATAGTTAAATCCCTAAAATATCATTTACTTTAGACTTTGAACATATCAGATATGATAAAAAGAAGGCACCCATGCTTCATCAACATTGGATAAATGACACTCCCAAGACAGAAGACTCAGGTTGTGATGGTCACCATGCTCATTCTGGGGAAGGATATCATTATCCACTCATCCTATTGCAGTGATTTGGTCATTTTTGACAAATAGACTGTTCTTATCATAAAAAATAACTTGCATGGTAAGAAATATAAGACTTAGAAAAAATCTTTTAGCTTCTGTGAACAGAATGCTACGGAGCATGTCACATGACCACCTGTATCACGTGATTCGTGTATGGGCAGAATGGTGGCAGATGTGCATTTAAATCAGAGAGGACTACATTAAAAAATAATGAACACTGAAACCTTATTTCATTTCTTTTATGGAAGTAATTCAATTTGTTCACAAAATTTTTGATCACCCCTCGTAATGCCAGAATTAGTATATGATTTTACTTGTGCAATATCATATGTAATATCTTATGCAAGAATAGCAGGATATTTTAACGCAATTTGACATCATTTAAATTGTGACATTGTATTCAATTGTGACGGCAATCAAGGGTACTGTGACACTTCTGGAACATCTCTGCAGATCAAGAAAATTGGGCTTCATTAAATATTGTTTTTACTTGTGCCACAAAACAGAATCTATAAGAAAATCACTTACACCCAATGCTAGAAATGGTAGTGGGATGAAATGAAGTACTTATTGTACTTATATTGAAAACCCTTGAGATATTTACCTTTTCTGACTGCAATAGACTTCTACAGCAGGATTTGAATTCAAATGACTTGCAAACTTTAGATTCAGATTATTTTTCTGAGATCAGTGACATCTTTTACAATGAGTGGTATTTTTAAAAATGTTGAGAAATCATTAATGGATGATAAATAATGTTAATTGTTTTAATTAAATGGTAATACTTTTTCCACTGTAATTCAACTATTCATCTACGATACAAAAAAAAAAAATGATACAATTACTAACATGGTGATTTCAAATGTCAAATAAATAGCAAATGTGACCATTGTGTAAATTACTTAAGAGTCTTCATTCATGATATTTATAAATGGAGTGGGCAAAAGAACTGTACACCTGTTTAAATGTTTTGATAGTAGTAATACTCTAATACATCATACCATTTGTTTATAAATATTTTTTCACTATAATAACCTTATTTTGAAATACCAACTAATGAAAAGGACAGGAATACTGGAAGTTGAATTTTCACATCTCTTAAAAAATATAGAAAAAGTATCTCACAATTTATAGAAAACTTAGAGATTTCTTTAAATCTTACAGATACTCAGGAAATAATCAGGCATAAAATTAAAAATCTTTTATACACAGCAGGGACTTACCTGATACCTAACAACATCGATTTATATTTATCTTAAGTACCATAGATATTTCAAAATTAAATTATCATCATGATATTTTACTAAACCCATATGGAACAACTCTAACTTATAATATAAAGGGCAAACACTTTTATATTTCTAAGAATTAGCTTGTGGTGATACTATATTTGAGTAATTATCAAGGATTTATTTGATTAAGAGGAAAACTTAAGTCAGTAAATGATTTTGTTTTGTTGTTGAAAACAAATTTGACTGGACTAACTATCTTTGAATTCTTTTCTTTTTTTTTTTTCATTTTACAACTTTTATGTAATTGTAAAGAAAAAATTAATTGTACAAACTGTCAGTTTGTAAAGGAAATGACATTGTTTTAATTTTCCTTTTTAGCTCACCTGAGCCAAAGACTCAAGTGAGCTTTTCTGATCGAAATTTGTCCGTTGTCTGTCGTCGTTGTTGTCGTCGTAAACTTTTCACATTTTCCATCTTCTTCTCAAGAACCACTGGGCCAATTTCAATCAAGCTTGCCACAAAGTATCCTTGGGTAAAGGGGATTCAAGTTAGTTCAAATGAAGGGCCACACCTTCTTCCAAGGGGAGATAATTATGAATTCGTGAAAAATGAATGGCATCATTAAAAAAAATCTTCTCAAGAACCACTGTGCTTAAAAATATGAAAGTTATATGGAAGCATCCCCAGGTAGTGTAGATTCAAGTTTGTTCAAATCATGATCCCCAGGGGTAGGATGGGACCACAATGGGCAAATTTATATGGAAGCATCCTCAGGTAGTGTAGATTCAAGTTTGTTCAAATCATGACCCCCAGGGGTAGGATGGGACCACAATGGACAATCAAATTTTACAAAGGAATACATAGGAAAAATCTCTAAATATCTTCTTCTCAAGAACAGCAAAGCCATGAGCATCCTCAGGTAATGTAGATTCAAATTTGTTCAAATCTTGACCCCCAGGAGAATAGAGGGGCCATAACAGGGGATCATAGTTATACAAAGGAATACAAAAGAATATATACCGTAAATAAAAATTTTCTTTTTAAGAACAGCAAAACCATTATTTATCATATTAATTCAAAAGTATCCCTATGAAGTATAGATTCAACTTAGTTCAAATCAACCCCCCTCCCCCTGAATCATTTTTATATTTAAACTTTTCAATACTGAACTGATTTCTGCTTTTTTCCTAGCCAGAATGCTCAGGTGAGTGATGTGGCTCCTAGGCCTCTTGTTAAGATTTCACAATCTAAGTAGCAAATTATAATGGTTTTTCTTTGAAAAATTGAGTTTTATAAAAAAAAAAAAAAAGCTTTCTCATCAAGTGTCATCAAAAGAATTTTGAATTTATAATTTTTCATGGAAAAATATAACTGTAATGTCATACATGTAGATATGGTAGATATATAATGTGATGTTCAATTTTAGATTGAAAAACAATATTCCCACAGAGAAGTGATAATTTTCTTTGTGGTGGCATTGTGCTTATTGAGAATCTGTAAATCTTGTAGTAATAATTGAATAATTTGATTTCTGACTGTAGAAATATAAAAAAAAAATATGGAATTTTTCTTAAAATTAATATAAAATGGATCCGAAGCATGTTGTTCATGGATATTACTTGGAGAGAAATAAAGAAATAATGTCTTTGAATACCCTTATTACTTATTATATAGCTAACAAAGTCTACAGTCTACCCTTGATTACATGTTACTATGAAGAAGTCATCTATGGAAAAATCTTGGTTATAAGAAAACTTTTAATGAATCCTGTAGAAGACTAGTTGCACTGTGTTTCCTGTATGGAAATAAAAAAAAAAAGAAACATACTTATAAGGAATAAAAATTCAAAGTTCCTGTGACTTTCTTATAGCTGAGTTTAACTTTATAAATATAAAACATATTGTTGGATAGAAAACTGAATATATGTATATTAAACTATAAGATAATGTTAACTTATCATTAATTTACTACTCATTTAGTTGTGTAGATTTTATAGTTAAAAATAATTGCAATAAATTTTTGAAAATTTGCCAAACTACCAGGACTGTAGATAGAAACTCAAAACATGAATCCTGAATAAATGCTTGTAAAACAAGAAAAAAATTATAAGCTTTTTAAAAAGGAACTAACCAAAACAGTGATGTTTGATGTTTGTTAATCAGAGTTTTCTGGTTCCAGCTAAGCTCCCTGAACTCCAGTATAGATGAGGAAAAGCGTAGGCTGCTGTTCCCAAACCTGACAAGTTTGGACCTTAGTTATAACACATGTCTGAAGGAGATTCCTCCCGAGATTGGTGACATTAGTGCACTGAAAAGGCTGTCTCTATCCTTCACTGGAATCAAGGAGGTTAGTGACAAGAATTATGATAAATATATTGATAAACATTTCTAGCTCACATGAATATGAGGCTCAAGTGAATGTTACTGATTAAAGGTTATCTTGCTCATATGTTTATATGAACTAAGACCCAGGTCTCACAGTACCGTCACCGTCACTACTTCTTTGCCAGAAACAAGAAATTATTTATAAATATGGTTGGAAAATATGTTTGGTTCACCTGAGTCAAGGGTTAAAAAAAAAGCTTTTCTGGCATTGTTTAAGGGGTCAGGCTTTTTTTTTTTAGAGGAGATAATTAAGGAATGGATGGGGATTTTTAAAAATCTTCTCCAGAGCTATGGCCAAAAAAATTATAGTTTTTCAGGCACCACCAGATCAGGTCAAACGCTGCTGCATTGATCATTTTTATTCATGTGTTTAATTTTTAAAGGGGAATAACTCAATTTTCTATTTTTCAAATTACAAAAAAATTGAGTTATTCCTCTTTTCAACTATTACCTGGAAAAAAGCCATAGATACCCAATAAATTTCTCATTATAACAACATGCTATCAGTGAGCTTATAAAAAGTTTGAATAACATTATTTAACGTGTATTGAGTATTATAGAACTTTATTAAATGTCTGAATTGTCAATAGCCCAGAATATTTTTCCTAAGTACTTGGAATAGCTCAATGTGTTCTATTGCCCGAGGCTAACGGCAGAGGCCAGTAGAACACATTGAGCTGTTCTCAGCACCAAGGGAAAAATATTCTGGTCTATTGATTGATCAGACATTATATAATTGTTTTTTTACCTAATATTATACCTCTACTGTTTTTACTTCATATAAAAAAAACTCAGAAATATCAAATTTATGGTTCCTCTCGGCAGGAGACTATTTCCTTCATACCCATTCCATAACTCTATAATATTATACTGAGTATATTGGCACTGCTGGTACAATAGATCACCAGTACAAAATTTACAACTATTGACCAGAGGTCCAATAGATCACTTTGAATATACAGAGAAAATAGTAAAAAATACTACATATTTAATAAAACAGCAAAATCACTTCTATTAGGTACATGTAACAACAAATAATACAGGAGTGCAAGAAAGGTGAGATTCACATGGTATCCTTATTTTTTTGACAAGAAAAAGTGGAATACTTTCGATCCCCCAAAAAAAAATTGCCTGCCACTTTAATGCCCTGTTCACACGGAGAGTTTAATTTGAATTAAACGTAAGTTACTGCGAATTAAATTTGATCCGCGTTCACACAGAGAATTTAATGCGAATTAGTTTAATTCGAATTAGTTTACTGTGCATTAAATTACTTTGTATTTGCTTTGTGTGAACAATAAGCAAAGCTTATTCGAATTAAATTCTGATGCATGCGTAATGGTTGAATTAAGTCACATGCCACGTCGGTGGTCAGATAGGTGCTTGAACCTTTTTTGAGTGAAAAACTATAGGAAAATTATATTAATCACTAAAATGTATACAGACACTATGACATTATGTCAAATGGATCTGCCCTGCATAAGGTGACATGATTTTCAAATGACGGCATAATAGCCTTACTGAATAGCCCTAATGTAGAAATAAAATTTTAATTCGCATTAGTTTACTTCGCATCAGTTGTCATGTGAACGCAATTTAATTCGCATTAGTTTAATTCGCATTGTTTACTTCGCATTAATTTACTACGAATTAAACTCTCTGTGTGAACAGGGCATTAATTTTGAAATTTCTGGCCTGAGAAACTAAAGATAAATTTTTTGCCAAATGAGCCAAAAAAAAAAAAAGAAGCAAGACAACTCTAAAACCCATGATTTAAGTGACTACAGTGTTGTTGCTGATGTTGTATAGTATGTCATGACCTTGACTCCAGATCATATCCTAAAGGTTATGGTTGTCATAAATACCATATAGTGGTAACCTTGGGTGAAAAAAGGGGAGGACTGGGATAAATCCATTTTTGTAAAAAATCATATTATTATACCCTATGCAACAAGTTGTGGGGGGTATGATGTTTTTGACCCGTCCGTTAGTCAGTCAGTCAGTCAGTCCTGTTTTTTTGTCAGCGCAACTCCTCAAAAACCGCTGCATAGAATTTTGTCAAACTTTGCAGATATTTAGGACACAATGTGTAGATGTGCATATTACCAGGAAATTCCAATTCTATTATTTTTGCCCTAAGAGTTTTCCCTATTATTGAAGAAACTTTCCAGCTAGGTAATAAGGAAATCCACTGGAATCAGTTTTTGTAATGAAATTTTATGTGAAGTATTTCATGACCTTAAAAGACCCCTATTGATTTTGAGATCAAAATATTAATGATTTAACACACACACAAAATCTTAGATAGTTCTCAAAGCCCCCCCCCCCCCCCCCTTCAAATTGGTACTTTGCCTTAAATAATTTCATAAGTACAGTATATAAACAAATTCATATGACTACATCATAATTTTGTTTCCATCAATTATTTAAATGTGTAAATTGTCATGTGTTGGACATGGACTTACACTCATTAACAAATCGAAATCACTGAGAAATTTAAATAACAGTTTGTCAGCATAACTCCTGCACTAAATTTCCTGAAACTTTGTAGGTATTTCAGACATAATGTATAGATTTGTATATTACCAAGAAATTTTGATTCCATTATTTATCTAGAAACTTCAGCCCAATTTAATTTGTAACATACAAAGATTTTAATGTCATTATATGCGAGAAGTTTTGATGTGCTGATTTTTTGCAAGTAATGCCCCTTTTTGAATTATACTGTGTATTTAAGATGCACTGTGCCATTCATTACGTGTTGCATTGTCGAGTTTTGGGGGAGCGTGGGGTATGTGAGCTTGCTCATTTTTTCTTTCATTTTTAATGAATTTATCCATGGTTTTATGACCCAAGTCAATTCTGATAAATATTATTTGGGTCAAACAGTTCTTAAAAATTTCAGTGTACGTGTATATTTTACAATAGCGTGCATATATTTGACAGTGTAAGACTAGCGTTAAAACAGAAATGAAGAAAGAAATATGCCACTTGTTTTTATTTTGTCATATGTATTGGTATTCAAACCTAAGGTGTCTTCTGTTCATTCAGTTCTTGAGCACCTATTCCTACCTATCCTCCAATATTGGCCATTTCAAAGTAATAATTAGATTGCTAATTAACACTTTCTTAGAATGTCCAAGGGATGTCAATCAAAATGGCTTGTCATAAATTGTATTTGTATTCAGACCCTAAGGTGCGTTCAGTTCACTTGTCTTGAGCGTCTTATCTTACCTATCCTCGTATTGGCCATTTCAACTTAATAATTAGATTGTTAATTAACACTATCTTAGAATATCCAAGGGATTATTTTTTCTAGTTTTAAAGATGTTAAGAATTTCATATCATGTTTGTGACGTCCAGTAATATAAACTATCACTCATTCTGTTCTTAAATAAACATGTATTTATAGATGTGGGATTGACTTATGATGTAAAAGTTTTAGGCTTCACACATAATCTTACAAAATTATACTGACCATTTCTTGGAGTATTCTTTTCTTGAAGATTGGCCACTCTCCAAAATAAACCAAAATTTAATTATCAAAAATTAAAAATAGAGGTACTGCAAGCACTGAGCTAAAAAAAAAAAAAGATACCCTGCTCTCCCGTATGAGTTTTTATTTTTATCATTTTTAGCTCACCTCAACAAAGTTGGAGAGCTTATTGTAAACATATCACATGTGGCTGTGTATTCCTTTAACACGCTCGGCGGTAAACAAGTTCTGCTAAATAAATGTCTTGCACATTTACTAATAAATAAGAACAATAAGAAATGTGCTAAATCAAATCTATGCTCAGACTTGCTCAAAAATCCATTTCTTCCCAATATTGTACATGCTAAATATAATATATTTATTATTAGCTCACCTCAATGATTGGTTGATTGTATGTTGTTTTATGTCCCGTTTGAGAATTTTTCACTCATATAGAGATGTCACCATATACCAGTGAAGGGCTTCAAAGTTAGACCTTTACTCGGCACTCAGGGCCATTGACCAGTGAGGGTTCTTTATCGTGCCAACGTCTACCATGACACAGGGCCTCAGTTTTTAAGGTCTCATCCAAAGGACCCGCAACTTTCACTTCAAAGTGCCGAGTGCTTGGTGAAGGAACAGTTGCTACCTATTTTTTATCGACCTAGGTCAGTCCTTTCAATCATTGAGCGAGCGCTCTTTGACCGACTGAGCTACCATGACGGCTCACCTCAGTGAAGTTGGGGAGCTAATGTAATACCCTTGGCATCAGCATTGGTGTTGACACTGGCATCTTTGTGCCAGGATGAGGGTTTTGGGGCAGATTTCTGTGCCCTATATTAATTAGAGATGCATGGATGATGCTTCTAGTATGTTTTATTGTACCAGTCAAGGTTTCAGATGCTGCAATATCAGCTAAAGAATGACCAGGCTAATATTTTTGGAGCAGATTTAAGTTTTTGGAGCAGGTTAAAGTTTATGGAGCAGGTCTCAATTCCAAGTAACTTTAAGCCCTACTGTAGATCACTAAATTTTTGCGACACCTTATTTTCACGAGATAGTCATTGACTCTTTATAAGCGAGACATAATTTTCACGAATTATTGTTATTCCTCTATATAATCTTAAGGAATACTATTATACGCGAGAATGAAATTTTCGCGAGCTCACTGTCTCGCAAAATTACGCGAAAATAAAGTTCTCGTGAATAAAAAGTGATTTACAATATATTGACCAAACTTGTATATCAAGGGATGCACACTATTGGACTTGCTCTGAATGCTGGATTTGACCTACATTTTTCACATGAGTGACCAGGTTAAAGTTTTGCAGCAGGTTCACTTTAAAGTAACTATAAGACCTATGTTGACTAAACTTGCGTGGATGATACATCTGAGGATGCATACCACTGGATTTGCTTTGGATGCTGGATCTGACCTACATTTTCTGGATGAGTGACCTGGTTAAAGGTTTTGGTGCAGGTTCATTCTGAAGTAACTATAAGACCTATATTGACCAGACCTGCAAGGATGATACATTTATTGATGTTTACTATTGGACTTGCTATGGAGGTTGGATTTGACCTGCATTTTCCAGATGAGTGACCAAGTTTAAGTTTTGGAGAAGGTTCATTCTAAAGAAACTATTAGCCCTATGTTGTCCAAACTTACATTTAAGGATGCACACTACTGGATTTGCTTTGGATGCTGGATTTTACCTTAACATTTTCTGGATAAGTGACCTGGTTAATGTTTTTGGAGAAGGTTCATTCTAAAGTGACTATAAGCCCTATGCTAACCAAATTTTGCATTGAAGATACATTAACTGATGCATACTACTGGACTTGTTTTGGATTCTGGATTTCAGTTACATTTCACAGATGAGTAACCAGGTTAAAGGTTTTGGAGCAGGCACATTCTAAAGTAACTTTGCACTACCTTATAAGCAGAATTTATAGCGAGGATTTAATTTTGGCATTATTTGTGAGGGTGTTGAGATCGCTAAAAATTAATTGCGTTTTATTTGTAATAGCTTCTTTAGTGAGCATTTTAAAATTAAAATTACTTTTTGCTAAAATAAAATAAAATACCAATTTTTAAGGACAAATCGCTAAATTTGTGTATCGCTAAAATTACTTGTACAGTATGTTGACCAAAATTGCACGGATGATGCATCAAGGGATGCACACTTTTGGACTTGCTCTGGATGCTGGATTTGACCTACATTTTCCAGATGAATGACCAGGTAAAAGTTTTTGGAGAAGGTCCATTACCAAGAAACTATAAGGCCTACCTGAACCAAGTTTGCATGGATGATGCATCAAGAGATGCACATTACCAGAGTTCCTTCTAGTGTGGGATTTGTCCTACATTTTCCAGATGAATAATTAGGTTAAGGTTTTTTTTTTGAGCAGTTCCATTACCAAGAAACTACAAGGCCTATCTGAATCAAACTTGCATGGATGATGCATCAAGGGATGAACACTGTCAAACTTTCTTCAGATGCTTGGTTTGACTGCTGGATGAGTGACTCATCTAAAGTTTTTAGAACAAGTCCATTCACAAGTATAACTGCAAACTCTATCAGACCAAAATTGCATACATGTTGCATTTAGGAATTTACACTTCAAGATTATTTAGGTTTAGTGTGGGTCTTTGCCTTACTTAAAGATATCATTAGTTGAGGTGAGGTCTGTAATCTTTGATTACCTATGTTTGCCATTTTCAGATTTTAAAGCTCAAATATCTGTCCAGATATTGAGTAAATTTTAATAAAGTCATGAATAAATTTACTGTTCAAGGAGTAATAATTATTGTGCTCATTGTATATCACTGCATAAGGTTATGTATTGTTTATGTCATTCATTTGGCAGTAAGTGAAATGCAACTCATGTTGAGCTTATCTCTAGGTTCTCCCATAGCAGCTTCTAAACATAAGCACTGATAAACTGAAGATCTTAAGTATATGATCATTTTATGTCCTATTACTTCCATTAAAGTAAAGATCCTGATTATGAATGGTGATTTTTTTCTGCAGCTGCCTCCAAATATTGGGAAGTTGAAGAGTCTATTTACCTTGGAGCTGGAGAAGTGTAACCTGGAAGGACCAATTCTGGATATCATCCAGGGATCTCACAAGCGAACCAAGGACATACTCGGATTCTTGTTATCTATCCTAGAAGAGTAAAACTTAATGATTACTATATATAATCTGAAAAATCAAATACCTTTGAATTGAAATGAAGATCCATATGAACATTTTGAAATGGGATTAAAAAAAAACAGTTTTGGAGTTTTTCACTTGTTTTGAGAATATAATTTCATCAATTGAATTCAATTCTTTATATCCCTTGAGTTGAACAACTCATCTCTGTGAAAAGCAATCCACAAATGTGAAAAATGTAGTACACATAAAGACAGGAAGTGTGAATGGTGTAGGCCCTACTTCCTCATTTAAGGTCAAAGGTTATTGGCCTTACTTCCTTATTTAGGTCAGTGGTTGTAGGCCCTATACATGTATTTTCCTCATTTAAGGTCAATTGTTGTAGGCTTTACTTCATTTAAGGATAATGGTTGTAGGCCCTTCTTCCTCATTTAAGGTCAATGGTCATTGACCCCTCTTCCTTACTTAAGGTCAGTGGTTTTTAGGCTCTATTTCTTCATTTAAGTCACTGGTTATTAGGCCTTACTTCTTCATTCAAGGTCAATGATTGTAAGGCCCTACCTCCTCATTTAAGGTCAATTATTGCAGGCTCTTCTTCCTCGTTTAAAGTGAATTGTTAAGGCCTTTCTTAAATTCCTAATTTTAAGGTTAATCGTTGTAGGCCCTACTCCATCATTTAAGGTCAGTGGTTGTAGGCATTACTTCTTTAAGTTTGATGGTAGTAGGTCCATTTAAGGTAAATGATTTTTATTTTATTTTATTTTATTTTTTGTTGTTGTTATTTTTCTTCCTTTTTTTCTTGTAGAGCAGAGGAATATAACTGTATGAATCTTATGTTTGTTGGAGTACACAATATTGGGAAGACAATGCTTCTTAGAGAAATCAGAAAATATGGCAAAACTACTCAGAAAATAACAGTAAGTATATTAATTCTGTGTGGGTACATCTTATACATTTTTCATATATATATATATATATATGGCATATTCTTTGTGTATGTTTTTTCTTATCATGTTCCTTGAGCAATGCCTTGGGCACCCCTGAGATGACAGCTTGTTAAATTATCTCTTTTTTCCCCCTTAAATTGTATGTGCATTCACAAACTTCTGAAAATGAAAGCTTTTCAGGGTAGGCATCATCAAGCTATTTAATTCTTTTCACATCAAAGATACATGTACATTTTATATTTCATATTTGAATGGTTTTTGAAGTGGTATTAACCCTTTTTGATTCATTTTTAGCATCTTAACTAAACATGACCCTCTTATTTTATTTTACTTGCCAACTCAATACACACCCAAATGCATTATAAATGCTTAAAAACCATATGGATGCATATAGTTGTGAACTTAATTAAGGCAATACAATATTATATATGTCCAACAAGTTTCATATACTATTTATCACTTAATTGTGTGAAATTCCTACAGGCACTTTATTTAAGGTTTTGACCTTCACCTTGTAATTGTGGACTGGGTCCAGATTGCCCAGGATTTAACAGTCTTTATTGTTTCCTTTGTATAACAAAATCATCTGGTTATGGTATGTGTGATAAGGTATGTTGATAAAAAGCATTCATCTACATACCCTTTTCCCCATATTTTACACCTTTCCTTAGGCCAGCATTTTTTTATTTTTAGGTTTACCAACACCAGAATGAAAAAGTCCCGTAGGAGGAGGAAATAAAAAAAAAAATTTTTTTGTATAAATTATCGACTTTTGTACATTCATTTTTGCTTCTTTTTTGATACTCTCCTAACAGGCTAACAGCATTTTATTTGTCCTCTGAAAGGGTGAAACATTTTGAATGGCACTCCTATCGATAAATTTTACACTAAACCAAGCTATGATGCTGCTATGGACTATGCAGGTCTACCTTTATTTACCCGCCATGTTTATCTTAAACCAGAAGTACGAGTTCGTAAATTTGAAATCTCGATCCCGACTCAAATTTGACATCGGGAAAGAAAAAATCCATTTTTCTCAATTTTATTTTTTTCTGAAAATTAAAAAACTCGAGTGGCGGGTTTGTAAACCTAAAAATAAAAAAATGCTGGCCTTAATATGCAAATTCAGAGTGTTTATATAACATGATGGTATTCAGCCTGCACTCATGAAAACCATGATATTTTAAAAAACTAGTTGATGAACACTTGCGTGCTGTATATCTAAATGCATGGAAAGTTCACGTTATCGATGAAAATTGGATGGCTAAGCAAAATTATATTTACTAACATAGAACATTTTCTGGGAAAACGTTATAATTGATAATAATATGACAATGTGAGCTATTCCTCCATAAAAGATCGCATTTTGTTACACGTTACATGCATTAATGCTTTTTCCCCCAAGATTAAAATGTCAAGTTTGTTCACTGTCAATATGTCTTCCAAACTTTTCATCTTATACTTCTAAAGATATTTTATCAAAAAAATCTTTTTGAGGAAAAAACCAAAAGCATATGTTCTCTTTTGTTCCTTTGAAATCTGTTTTGGGTGTGTAGAAATGCTGTTTTCTGATTGGGCAAAAAAATATTACGTTTTTTTGAAGTGAATTTATAGCAACTTTCAGTTATCGTTCTTGACTTTCATATTTGGAAATCCTCCAGACCTGTTTACATAGTGCAATGAGCTTTGTTGCCAAATTTTTGAGTGTCTAACATTTTTTAGCCAACTCATACCTGAGCTTTAATTGCTGCCAAATTTTTGAGTGTCTAACATTTTTTGGCTAATCATACCTGAGCTTTGTTGCCAAAGGATGACTGCACTTAAGGACATGCGAAAATTGCGACAAAATAAACTTTCAAAACAAGCATTTTTCTTTTAATTGCACAAATGGTCAACATCTAATCTACAACTTTATGTAATTAAATTAAATAAAAGTACGTATTTACGAAGTACGAAGCTGTTTTCTAAGGCGGGGGTCATCACAATTCCTTGAATCTCCGTACGATAATGAGGACGCCCACCTTATCACTGACTTTATACATAGTCAGCGCATGTTTGTCTATTGTTCTCCGTTTAACAGTAGTTGTATATTTGCATTAACAATGTTGTGTCAAAAGGAGATTAATAGACAAACATGCGCTCATGGTTTAAACGAGAAAAAACTGCTTCTTCTTACATCGCTCTCTCTATTGTAACCAAGGGCTGTGACATGTTGAATATTATAATTCACCACGTGATTTCTTACCTCAGGTAACTCTGTGAATATTAAATTCCGTCACGTGACTTGTAAAGTAGCATGTTTTGTGCTAACTAGGACAAAGTGCTCGAACACGTTAAATTGTTAGGCATTGATTTAAAAGATACTTTACTTACATGGACGTCGCTCATATTGTTAATTTCATTTTTGAAACCTCTGAAAATAGTGTTCTTGTGCCATACAGAATAAAGAGGGAATGAGAAGGAATGGGAAAGAGTGATCTCGTATTTTTTAAATACATGTCATTGTTATTTATCTAGTCTAATTTTAGAGCCATTCTTACAATGTTAGCTCCACCTCTCATGCATACCTAATGTTTAATCAAGGGCAGGTAAGTGTAAATTCTCTACACTTGGAAAGAGTAAGGACAGAAAACATAGAATCATTTTATTGTATAACAGTCTAAGATCATTGTAATATTTAAATTCGGCTCGAAATTGACAGGATTCTTTCATAAATATATGAAAATGAAATAAGAGTTTGATATAAAAGCAACAGAAGCGACCGAAAAAGACCCAAAAACCGGCGTTAAGTGCAGTCATCCTTTTTGAGTGTCAAACATTTTTTGGCCATCTTATACCTCAGCTTTGTTGCCAAATTTTTGAGTGTCTAACATTTTTTGGCCAACTCATACCTGAGCTTTGTTGCCATATGGAGAAATTGTGTGTAATTTATTCATGAGATTGCTTCCACGTGATTTATTTCTCATTAATATTCATAAGATACTGAATAAAATCGAAATTCCATTTCTTTAATTTTTTTTGTTAAAAACCTGCAAGCCTGATTCATTTTGTTTTTTCATCAAGGTTCTGTCATACTTATATGGGTAGAAATTTGTGTGAATAACAGCTGACGACTCGGGACACCATTTTCCCGATATAAAGTGGGTCACAATAATGCAAAAAATTGCCGTTTTCAAATTAAAAAGGCGGTCGTAACTCCTCATGGATTGGCAAAACATATGTATTTTATAAAAATAGTCTCTCTTTTACACCTCTTAATCGGCAGAAGAACTCTATCAACTTGTAATAAACACTTACATTTCCTCATAAAAAATGATAAAAACACCAATTCTGTGCTCTTTCCTTCATTAAAACAATATACTCTCTCTTCGAATTTTCAAATCAAAAAGGCGGTCGCAACTTTCACTTCGGTATCAACAATCTTGTCATTTCCGGTAGAAGATATTAAGAAGAATCAAACCATCGGCAGAAGAACTTTATCCGAAATAGTTAGGATATAAAAATTCGCGATTTTTTGTATTTTCTCTATATAAACCTTTATAAATTCGGCCTCCATTATAGTTCCAAAATGGCCGATATGCAAATCAGCAGAATGAACACCATTTCTCCATATGCCAAATTTTTGAGTGTCAAACATTTTTTGGCCAACTCATACCTGAGCTTTGTTGCCAAATTTTTGAGTGTCAAACATTTTTTGGCCAACTCATACCTGAGCTTTGTTGCCAAATTTTTGAGTGTCAAACATTTTTTGGCCAACTCATTCCTTATTTTTCTCCAGATTTTATGACTATCCCATCATAAACTTTGAGTATTGCATCTTAATTTTTAAGGTGCGGTGTCGTCTTTGTTAGAATCTCAGTTTTGTACTGTTGTTTGCAGTTTAATTTACTGAGTAAGTAATTCTTCTGTTGGAAAACCCAAGCAAAGCATATTAAATTTTACATACATGTACTTTCAAAGTTTGTTTACATTTCTTGCTGACAAATAATTATTGAATATTTTAATTAGTTAGGGAATAATTAGAAACTTTAAAACTGAGTGGAATTTGGACTCAGTCTGACAATTAAATTGTTTATCTTCTACAAAAAGTTTTATTATTTATTTATTGCAATGATTCACTCAGGATTTTCCTCCTCCCTCAAGATAGCAATGCACTCTACAGAGGAATGATAAAAGTTTTTTTGTCTGCATTCTGGTACCCTTTTGAACAATATTCTTTTCTGGAAATTCAGGTTTTATTAATACATTTGCATATGCCTTGACAAATGAAAATGATGGCTATATCATTGAAAAATGGTATTGTTGTTTTCCCTAATCATCACTTATCTTCAATAAAGGTATTTTTTTTTTGTTCAGTGCATTTAATTTATTTAGATATATCTTTATAAAAAACACAGCAATTAAAGAGGTAGCAATCTTGTCTAGGTCATAACTTTGTAGAGATTTCAGAAGAACATACTTGACAAAGATGTTACATGTGACCTTAGGATTGTCCAGACTCTGAGTCAAGGTCATATGGACAAGGTGAAGTTCACAGCAGTCAAAAATCTAAATATCTAAAGTGAGCAATAACTTTTTAACTCACCTCGATGAAGTCGAGATGAGCTTATGCTATACCCCTGGCGTCGGGGTTAGTGTTGGTGTCCTGGTTAAAGTTTTAGGAGCAAGTCCATTCCCAAATAACTATAAGCCCTACCTGGCCCAAACTTGCATGGATGATGCATCTAGGGATGGACACAATCACACTTGCTTCTGATGTTGGATCTCTATCTAGGGATGTACACTAACCAACCTGCTTTGGATGCTGCATCCGACCTAGATTTTCCACTTGAGTCAATTTTAGCCATATTTTAACCAAATTAGCATGGATGATGTATCTAAGAATGGACACTTCCAGACTTGCTTTGGATTCTGAATCTGACCTACATTTTCCAGAAAAAAAATATTATAGGAAATTTGCCTTACTTATAGATAACTTTCATAGAGGTGAACTTCATAATCTTTAATTACCTATGTTTACTTCAAAGATTGCAGTTCTGACACAAAGTTTCTGACAACTTAAGGGTTGTCTTGACATAGAGCCAAGGTCATCAGACAAGGTCAGGGTCACAGGATCTAAAGGTAAAAGTGTTTTCTGGACCATTAGTTTTTGAAGTTAAGAATGTTAAGATCTTATTTGGTAAAAACTTGTTGCTTTACAGCTAGTTGAAGATGTAATGGACATTAAAGCAATATGAGCTCTATTTTTGAGAATTTTATTTTGCTGTAAAAGCTATTTATAATCCTGCATGTAACTTGAACCTTTCTGAATAATAAGACTATCTAAAACTAAGCATTTGATTTAATCAGAAGAAAGATTTTTGTACTATATAATAAATAATATTGTATAAGAAAAATCACATTTTGTACTGGACCACAATTATATAATTTTGCTTCTATAATAGCTTCTGAAAAGTTCTTTGATGCAAGTCAGTTTAAAAAACAGAAGTTTATAAAACTTCATTTTTTTTGTCATTGAAACAATGGCTGAATTTTAATTTTACCTAATAATTTCCTGCAAGAAAATTGCAGCTAATATTGCCATAGAATGCCGTGATTTGACATGGAAAATTCCTTGAAAATTACAATGTTCTTATATGAAAAATTTTCCCAGTGTCTTAGCCTGATTAAGTCATGCGAGAGGTATGAATTAGTCTCTTTTGGAATGTAATCCTTGTTTATGGAACACACAATTTACAAAAAACCAAATGGTAAACATTTTTATTAGTGTATGCATGTATTAGATAAGTGTATATATAAGAGCTCCAGACAAGATCTGGATTGTGTTGATTGTTATTTGGAAAAAAAAATATTAGAATTTAGGCCAGATAAAATTAAAGTTTTGATTCGATCTCGTCCCCACCCGCCCTTCCCAAAATGTGCGCAGTTTTTTATTTGTTTTTTTGTTATCAAGTTTAAAGTATTATGTTTAGAATTTTAGACTTGCTTCCTGTTAGTATTAAAGTCGCATGGTGCTATTTTTAACAAAGGAGCATGTAGAAAATAGAGGAAAGTGCAAGAAAAGCAGTGTATATACATATGTAGAAAAAAGAATTTATATACCTGTTTAGATAAGGCCAAAACCCCCCAAATAAAAGCTACATGTATATTAAGCTCTGACACATCTACATGTAGGTACATGTATATGTTTTAAAGAGATCTGAACAAAGTAAAAATATAGCAAAAGAGATGAAAAAAATTAGCATCTCTTAGCAGTTGTATCTATTAAAAAAAATTGTCGGCAGATCGATCGACTTTAAAGAATAATAGTGGTTACTTAAATAGAAAACGGTAAATGTTTAAGAACTGTTCAGGTGAGATTATAGACACCCCATTTTGCAAAATGTTGACAATATCAAATGTACGTGTACACCGTTTACAATGTGTTAGGATCCGTGCCCCATTTCATAGTACATGTAGTTGTGTGTGATGTGTCTACTCATTTAAAAAATAATAAATAATGAAATGATGTATATATTTTGTATACAAAGGATTTTTGGTATATACATGTATTTACAGAACAATAAATTTCACCCATACTTGCATTAACAATGAGAAAATTTTGTATATTAAGGAAAATGCTATGCATAGATATTTTTAAGAAAAAGATTTAAAAATGAAATCTGCCCACCAGCCCCAATTTTTAAGCAAATAAGGATGAGAATCTAAAGTTCAATTTAATATGGTCTTTGGGTGATAAAAAAGGGGATTTTTTTGCACAGTTTACCCTAGACGTTCATAAAGTGTGCCTCACTGTACTACACACTACTGCAGAATGTTTTTCAACATGCACTATTACATATTACTATATTGTCAATAAAAGTGCTCATAATTGCTATTTTGCTTTGAATAGATTTATGCAAAATGTTGAGTACATAAATAATTAAAGGCTACAGCTACCATTAACTTATTTTTCATTAGTGTAGAAAAAATGAATTTACCTGTGTCTTAATTTATTTAGATAAGGATAGAAGTTGTGACAGAAGAAAATACACTACAATCCTTCTCTGTGCATAGTCTAGGAATACAAAATGTTTTTTCGTGAAATAATTTTTAAAATTATATTAAAAAATAATAAAAAAGTATCCCTTGATCACTCTACAGGGTAAACAAAAAAGCTGTCAACTGGTCAGGCAACTAAAGTATCCTCAATGTTTATAACCTACAATAAATGTAATATGTAATAATGGCTTCAAAATTATCTCTAGTCCATTACAATAAAAAGTAGTATTCCTCAAAGTGTGCATTTATTTGTGAATCAAAAAATAAAATAATATGATCATAATATTTCTGTTTTGTTTTTTGTTTGTTTTTTTAATGAATGTCAGTGTGTAAATTTTTGACAAAATTAGAAGTAAATAAAACTGAATATATATATATATATACATACATACATACATACATATATATATATATATATATATATATATATATATATATATATATATATATATATATATATATATATATATATATATATATATATATATATATATATATAATCATATGATTAATTTTATATTTTGATCATATATTCCTTTGAAATTAACAACAATTAATTTGAAAAAAGTACAATTTATTTATGATGACCATCTCCAGCATTTCAGTCAGAGGATTGACCAATCAGCAACCGGTATTCGACAAGATGGAGGCACTCTCTCAACAGTGGGCATTGACATCAATGAAATTGTTATTGGAGAAAAATGGTCAAAAGGACCCGTCACATTCCGCACTTGGGACTTTGGGGGACAGGTAAGTCATTCCTAAAAACAGCCTGGATAAGAATTCAACAATAAATATGCCTAAAGTTTATGTTTGTTTTGCTTAGTAAGCCTTCTTATTGATCAGAAGGATCTGCAAATTCTTGGAAATAGGTGCAACAATAAGCATTTATGTTTGCATGAAAATTTCATGAAGTCTTATAAAATTGTGCTTGGCATAAATTTACATACATAGAGAATAGAAAATACAGTTGAACTTTGGTAGTTTGAATATTGAAATCTCAAATGTGGATATGTCAGTTTGAATTGGACATCCTAATTGCATTTTCTTTATATATATATAAGGTCGTATACTTTTCAATGTACCATTCCCACTGATAATTTTCCAAGATATTCTTAATTTAAAAAATCATAATGGGATTATATGTTCCAAGACAAAAAAATCAGCATATATTACAAGAAGTTTTGAACAGCTGATATCATATGTTTTTTAAAAGAAAAATTAACAAAATTATAGTTTAAGTTGGTATTTCCTCAAAATTTGATTCAGAGGAGGTGTACAGCATTACCATCATCATAAGATCACACAAAGGTCCTTCAATTATTGAAAATCTTAATTTATACAGATAATTAGAAAATAAATTCAAAACTACATTGTATAAGTCCTTGAAATATCCTCAGTAGATATCGAAGTTTTCCTTGGTCCCATCAAGTTTGTGATAATGAGATATTTTTAGTATAGGTATAATTGTATCTTTTCAATAAAATATTTTGATTTTTTGAATACGATGTCTATAACAGCCAACCTCCAGTAATGAACTGTTTGGTCCTGACCCAACATCTACACTTGAATTGTTGGGTCATAACACTCAACATCGTTTTTGACCTTTTTTTCATGTTATATATACAATACTATTGATTGATTGATTATATGTTGTTTTATGTCCCATTTGAGAATTTTTCACTCATATAGAGACATCACCATATACCGGTGAAGAGCTTCAAATTTTGACCTTTACTCGGCATTCAGGGCCAATGAGCAGTGAGGGATCTTTATTGTGCCAACACCTGCCGTGACACGGGGCCTCAGTTTTTAAGGTCTCATCCGAAGGACCCGCAACTTTCACTTCAAAGTGCCGAGCGCATGGCCAAGGAACATTCGCTACCCATTTTTTATTGACTTAGGTCAGTCGCGGCCAAGATTCGAACTCACAACCCCCAAATCATGAAACGAGCACTCTACCAACTGAGCTACCGTGAACGGTAGATACAATATTAAATAATATACAGTCGAACTCCTGTATCTCAAATACTGATATCTTGAATACTGTTGATATGTCAAAGTGATTTGGAAGTCCCAACCACTTATTCATTAATAATTTTACCCTCGAATCCTGGGATATCTCGAAGTTTTTTTCTGGATCTCATTGAGTTTGAGATAACGAGGTTTCACTGTATTTCTTTGATTTGTGATTATGGAATATCATGTTGCATGAGGTTTGAAAGTGAATAATTATGTAAAGCTATTCAAGAGTGTAACAGAAATTAAGTTTAAAATTGAACTTGTAATGTAATATGTATCTAAGTAATGTACATCCCATATTTGCAGCCATAAGCACTTTTGCAGGAAGGCTTTACACTTGAACTCACTTACATTGAACTCTTTATTTAAAAAATCGGTTAGTTTGAAATGAATTTGGTTTCCCTTAAAAAACTGGAACAGTTTCTTTGTAATAAATACTTGTTTAGATTGAAATTGGTTAAATTGAAAAACTCTGTTAATTTAAAGTGATTTTGGGGTCCGCTGAACACAAAGCTTGTTGTTTTGAGAACGGTTACATTGAAGTCGCCGATTGCGACGCATGGTAACAGGTGACTGATTATATAGGAAGTCTAGCACATGTAAATTTTTCACACATGTGCTTTGATGTCAGTTGACTTGTAAAAATTTAATTATGTCCTGTATAAATAAACAATTGAGAACAATTCTCACCAGAACATATCAAGGTAGTCATCATTTTTATTTTTCATCCCATATTTGCAGCCATAAGCACTTTTGCAAGAAGGCTTTACATGTATATATATCTGATGTTTTATTTTCTGCCCAATAAATTATGCCATAATGAAGTTTTTCAAATGATTTTGTAAAGTGTCTGCAATATTAAATGGAAGAATATACTAACTACTTCACCATATAGTTACCAAAGAGAGCCTCAGCTACTGTAACTTGTATGTTTTTTTTTATCCCCCTGAATATCATAGTAGTGGTAATGGTGTGGGGAGGGGGATGGTAATATACCACCCGCTTCCTAGATCCATGCATCTGTGGCATTAGTAAAAGTTATTGATTTTGTCATAATCTGGTTACCACCCACTCTTTGCCTTGTTAACATTTTTGAATCCATTAAAGTTTATATTCCCACAACGCTTGACATTTACAGTATGTTTCATTTTGCAGTGGTAAACAAGTTCTTACTCCTTGGTGTGGCTGACTGACGTCACCTCTTACTTAAAGCTTTAAAAGCACGTCATTACCATACAATTATTGCTGTTTTTGTCATTGTTATGATGATTTAGCCACCCGAGGAGTACAATATTCACCGAGTCTGAAGGGGGAGGTAAATATTAAATCTTGAGGGTGGCTAAATCACAAATAGACTGAAAAAACAGCAATAACTGTTTTTATTATTTGATCCAATGATTAAGGTGGAATGCTACACAAAAATTTTATTTAATGGATTTTTTAGACATTTGTTTTGAACACACAGTTTCAGCATGGAAAGGTTGATATATTAGCTCTTAATTATTTTATATGATTTTTTTGTATTTTTTCAAAGAAAATGTAAAAATTGTTTTATTTGCAAATAAGATGCTTTTGATTTTAAAATTTTCTGTAAATAAATGCACAATACAAATATCTAATGAAAAATGTTAAGAAGAGTTAGAGAGAATTTTGAAATTTTTAAATAAAAAATAATTTATGAATATAAAAATTATAATTTGTTAATACTTTTTAAACCTATGAATAAAATCTTTAAAAAACAAGTTACCTATAGAAAAGAAATATGATGCAATTATATTTCATAAAGAAATTGAATTGAAATTGCAAAATTTAAGCAAAAATGTAATTTCAAAATTTGGACCAATCCTGATTAAAATTAAACTGATTCCAACCAAAATCATATAAACTAGAATAATATAACAAGAATACAAGGTTCCTTTGGTGAAATGTGGTTTACAAAATAATTGAATTTATCTTTTATGTGGATTTCTCGGTAGGAACTGTATGAGATACATGTAGGCAGTAAATTAGTAATAAAGAATTTTGTATTGATTTTGATCGGGATTGGTTTAATTTTGATCAGGATTGGTTCAAATTTGAAAATTAGCAAGTTTTCTAAAGTTTACCAATTACATGTCAATTTCTTCTTAAAATATGATTGAGTATCCTATCTTTCCCCTTTGTGACTTGTTTCTTAAAGATTTTAACCATAGGTTAAAAAAAAATGAATGAATAATGTGTTTTATTTTCATAAAAACAAATTTTAAACTCTAAAGCATCTTATTTGCAAACAAAATGATTTTTACATTTTCTTTGAAAAAATACAAAAAGTTAATATAAAATAATTAAGAGCTAATATCAATCTTTTCATGCTGAAACCATATTTCAAATGAGAGATCCATTATATAAGATTTTTGTGTAGCATTCCACCTTGCCATCTTTCTTGATTGTTTACATTTGTTGAAGTCCTCCCTGAATGCAGTGAGAGAATAAACATTATAAATTGTAAAAGAGATCCCTTTTGTGAGATTATAAAGTGCAAACATAAAAAAAAATTAAAAGATGAAATCATCTTATGAAAATCATTTCAAAACATATATCAAGGAAGTTTGTTTCTGCATGCTTAACACATGCACATTTCTTCTGAGATCAAAAACAGTTTAAAAGTACAAATTTAAAATGTTTACTTTGTTTTATATTTTAGAAAATAAGGATATTTTGTAACATCTTACACATGCAAGCAATGCTTATACATGTATAATTACAAATATTGATTGATTAGCACTTAGTATTTAATTCTTTTACATTATATAACCAATTTTAATAGCTAAAAGAGAGTCAGATTATACCGTATTTGCTCTTCAGAGCTGAAATTTTTTAATTACAAAAAATTATTTTTGAATTTCAAAGTAATTTAAGAATATTTTACTATGTTCCTTGTCAAACTATATAAAAATAATAATAATTTTTTTTCTATTGTAGAAAGAGTACTATGCAACACACCAGTACTTTTTGTCTCCAAGGTCTCTATACCTTGTCATGTGGAAGTTAATAGATGGAGAAGAGGGCATTCAGACAATATGGCAATGGCTAGTTAGCATACAGGTCAGGGGTCAGGGATTCAAATACACTGTAGTGCTGTATAGTCTCACTTGAAAGTAGCAAGACTGAATGTCATAATATTTGTAAGACAATAGACATGTATCATTAGGACAAAATATCTGAAATTATGATACTTAATGTGAGAGGTCAAATGTATGAATAATTTATTGTTCAGAGGAAGAACAACAACACAAAAAGAACCCAAAAAAAACACCACTTGTTAGCTCACCTTAGCCAAAGGCTGAAGTGAGCTTTTCTGATCGAAATTTGTCCGTTGTCTGTTGTTGTCGTCATAAACTTTTCACATTTTCATCTTTTTCTCAAGAACCACTGGACCAATATTAACCAAACTTGGTACAAAGCACCCTTAGGTGAAGGGAATTTAAGTTTTTTCAAATGAAGGGCCACACCCCTTTTCAAGGGGAGATAATTCAGAAATAGTGAAAATTTGGTGGCATCTTTTTAAAAAAATCTTCTCAAGAACCACTTGGCCAAAAAATTTCAAACTTATAGGAAACCTTCTTTACATAGTGTAGATTCAAGTTTGTTCAAATGATGACTCCAAGGGGTAGGGTGGGGCCACAATGGGAGATCAATATTTTACGTAAGATTAAGAGGAAAATATCTTTAAAAATCTTCTTCTCAAGAACAGCAAAGACATGATTAGTCATATTGATATGGAAGCATCCTCAGGTAGAGTAAAAATGATGACTCCTGGTGTTAGGGTGGGGCCGCAATGGGGGATCAAAGTTTTACATAGGAATATATAGGAAAAAATCTTTAAAAATCTTCTTCTCAAGAAAACAAAACCATGAGTTGTCAAATTAGTATGCAAGCATCCTCAGGTAGTGTAGATTCAAGTTTGTACAAATGTTGACCCCTGGGGGTATGGTGGGGCCAAAGTGAGGGGTCAAAGTTTTTCATAGGAATATATAGAAAAAAGTGTTTAAAAATCTTCTTCCCAAGAAATACAAAACCATGAGTAATCTAATTAATATGCAAGCATTCTCAGGTAGAGTAGATTCAAGTTTGTTGAAATGATGACTTCCCCTGGGGGTGGGGTGGGGCCACAATGGGGGATCAAAGTTTTACATAGGAATATGTTGGAAAAATTCTTTAAAAATCTGATGCTCAAGAACAACAAAGCCATAAGTTATATTGATATGGAAGCTTCCTCAGTTAATGTGAAATTCAAGTTTGCCAACATCCCTCCCCCCTCCCCCTCCAGTAAATTTTTCAAAACTGAACTGATTTTTGCTTTTTCATAGCCAATGTGCTCATGTGAGCAATGTGGCCCATGGGCCTCTTGTTTATAAAACTTACAAGTCACCATTAATCAATGGGCCCATGGTCCATTCGTTCTGACTTTTTTACTGTGTGATAAATGATGGATCTTAGGTACTGTTGTTTCGGGTAATGATTGTCAATAAATAAAGGAGAAGAGTGCAGTGCAGACCTTTTTTTTTTTTTTTTTTTTGCATTTCAATGTATTCAATTTCACCTTTGAGTAGCTCGTATTTGTATATATCCTTAGGCTAGAGCTCCAGGCTCCCCAGTGATAATAATCGGGACACACCGGGACATTCTGACCGCTAGGAGAACTCGCAATAACTTCCCTGCCTCATTTGAGGAGGATATGAAAGAGATCATTGAAAGACAGTTCATCAAAGTGGAGGAACCAGATAAATGTGGATTACCTGTTGTAATTGGTCAGATAAATGTCAGCTGTAAAACTGGAGAAAATGTCAAAGATCTTGTCAACTTCATCTACAACAGAGTCTTCCAGCTTAAACATCCCAGTAAGTCATTTATCAGTACAACTTGGAAGAGAAGTCCAGAGTCCCAGTAAGTCATTTATCAGTACAACTTCGATGTGAAGCCCATATGTACTGAGTCCAGGCCAGTAAGTCATTTATCAGTATAATTTGGATATCAAGCCCATATGTCAAGAGGCATCAGCAAGCTGGATCAGCAGGGGTGGGGGGTGTTCTTACTAAACTGTTTTGACTTAGATTCATTTGTTTTTTTTTCCCATTTTGCCAATAACCTGATAAACCAAAAAAAATCAAAGTTGTATTTATGTGTTTTTACTTAGTACATTTTATGTCAAAAGCACATTGAATGAATATCTGCATTCAGCCAGAACTGTGTACAACTGCAGGTACAGTAATTTTTAGAATTTTTAAGGTTGGCATTAGCTTTCAAAATACTATATTAAAATTGCAGAAATCATGGAATCTAATGAGTAAATGGGTACAATACAGTGTTTTATTCATCTACATATTTCTATGTCATAAAGAGTAAGTTTGCTAAAAATGTCATTGCAGCCCGTGGGCCTACTTTTAATTAATAATTCCAGTCTTTTATAAAGTTCCAAGTAAATAATTTAAAAGTGTTTTTTCATCTCATTCCCTCTTTAATCTTGAGTAAGTACTATTCAAAGTCCACTCTATTGAGGGACTTTCTTATGGCGTGAAGATGCCGTATAGAAAAATTATCAATTTTTATTTAATCAACCTGTTAATCTTACAACTGTACATTACAGGAAGTTCATAACTTTAATTGAGACTCCTTCTATAAGAGATAGGATAGGATTTTATTAATGAAACACTCTTTGTTTTTGTAATTATATAAATGTGAAAATTACTTTGTTATTTCACACAGGTGTTAAAAGGTGATTCAGTTCATTGAAAGACAGGTGTTAGGTGCAGATTTTATCATTTGGTTAGGGATGTTTGTAAGGGTTAATGTATATGAGTAGCAATCCATTCCTTAAAATTAATGGAGCCAAGGCCTAAAGGGCTGAGGCCCATTGCTTTGAAGGTATGGAAAGCTAAGAGTATACTGACCTGCTTAAAATCTACTGTCTTAAATGTTCGTAAGTATTGTTTGTCAATATTTGAAAAAAGATATATTTTAATAAGATACATTGTACATGTATATATACATTTATCGTATTTAAGTAGTTATTAATATAGAGAGAGAGAGAGAACTGTATAGAAAGTGTTACAGAGTTATTTAAATCCTCAATCCGTCAACAGGCTCGATAGCATAGTGAGATACTGAGTGTCCAACTACTAAAGAGATTGTACCCAGTTTGACCCCCAGGAGTACTACACTTTTTTTAATATGAATTCTATGAAAATATATTTTAACTATATATAAACTTGATAAAATTTTTCTTTATTCCCCAGAAGAGGCATGGGAAAGAAATTTGTACATAAAAACACCATTTTCAATGTAAATTGCAAAACTCTTCATTCCTGAAAAGTAATGGAATGCTCAAACGAAAGAGTACATCACAAGTGGATTTTAATAGAAAAAAATGCACATAATAATGTTAGGGGAAAAAACATGTACACTTTAAGAGTAGTGTATAAGATCATCTGAGTCACTCAGGGGACCAGTTGCTAATTTTTTTTAGCTCACTTCAATGAAGTTTTGGGGGGAGCTTACATGTATATAATAACCTCGGCTTTGGCATCAGAGTCAGCGTCCCAGTTTTAAGTTTTTGGAGCAGATTTCTTATAAAGTACTTAAAAAGAAATTGTCCTATATTACTATATTCACTAATTTTCTTTAGGAAGGAACAAGGAAAAACTGCTTCAGCACAAAATCCCAAAGAAATATTTAATTCTGAAGGATATAGTCCAAGAGCTGGCAGAGGAGCGAATCAGAGAAAAGAAGGACCCAGTATTGGACAAATCTTCATACATGTAAGCTTATGTCATATGTCTTATATAAATGGACAAATTTACATACATGTTATACCTGGGTCACATTTAAGCTTGGGTTACATCGTATTGTCAGCTGTAAAAACATGATCAGCCGTCACTAGTATCGGGTGATGCGGAGCAGTCACATTAATTCCTAGGAACACCAATAACTTTAAAAGTTTAAATATTTATAAATTGGCCAACCATTGACTGATCATCAAGCACTGAGCTGCAGTTTGATTTTCATCATCGGCCAACATTTAAGAAAACCCAATACCCTGGTACCTAAATGTCGACTGACCAATGACCGACTTGACAAAGTGTCTGCTGCTGGTCAGATGATGATTGGTCAACTTACAATTTAATGACTGCTTCAATTAAAGAAATTGGCCACCGATGCAGAAAAAACTTATAACTGGGCCCAACATACGCACGTACGTACAACAAAAAAGAGATCAAATTCGGGCAAGACAATGGCCAATGAACTTCTGACTGTTGCCCGAAGAATCCCATTTTTGCCTTAAAAACCATCAGCTGTTGGTTGTTTTTGGAAATGTGACTGGGGTTGTATAGGTCTTATAGAAATGGACAAACCTACATACATATTTTATGTCTTATAGAAATGGAAAAATCTACATACATGATATATGTTTTTTAGAAATGGACAAATTTTCATACTCATGTATGAAGCTCATGTCATATGTCTTATAGAAATAGATCTTTCATTTATTTATTGAGTTCTTATATCTATATGAAGATAAAACATCCCAGTTACTGTATAAAAATTTAACTTCCATGTGTCTATTGTCTAGAAATTACAATAAATGAAATAAGAAGTTTAAAAAAAAGATGAAACCATACCAGGGTTTGAACCCTGTATAACAGACAGATTCTCTAGAGCACCAAGTGAGCTATCTAGTAATGGAACCATCCCAGCACAACCATCCCCCCTTCTCCCAAAAGAATGAAATTCCACTTGTTGTGTAGAATTTGTTCACCCTTATTTCTTCTTTAGTTTCATAAATGTCTATATTGAGAAATCAGTCTAAATATTGGACTACTTTCTGTCAGTTTTTCAAGTGGAACATGATATTTAAACATTATAATTCTTTTTATGAAAAGTAAAGGTTAATCTGGTAAGTACCTCTCACATTTCTATACTTTAGGGGATTATAAGTGGGTCTTGTGAGCTTTCTTTGTTGGAGATGTTGGAGCATGGGCTTTTGCATGTGATTTTAGAAAATTCTCTGCGAATCCATTATTTATGTTTCACATTATTTTCGATCACCTAAGCCAGGGAGTTTTTGTTTTTAAATTTTATTCAAAACACATTTATCTGTCATTTCCAAAATTTAAAAAGGTACCCAATATTTTATCTCAAGAGTCTCTATTACACATTTGTAACCAATTTTGACAGAAAGCATTTATAGGGTAAAAGGAATTCAAGTTTATTTAATTAGAACAAGGCCCATATCAAGATAAGATGGAGATCGATTGTAAATTGGTTTTGGCTATCAAAAATTCTCCACTTAAGTGTAGCATATAGGTCACGTTTCAGCTTTTCTCCAAACCAAACTTGCAGATGGGTTGATTTTGTGTATACTTTATTAAATGCATGCTTTGATTGCGCCCCCTCCTCTCCCCCCAGAGGGGGGGGGGGTTCAGTCATGTTTGGACAAATCCAGTGTAATATAGTTCTAAATTCAACCTAATAAAGTGGAAATGAAATTGCTAAGTCTCTCAGATTTACAATACAAATTTCAGGTTAAAGACAATGAATAAAATGATGGAAAGATCCGGAACCTTATTTAGAGACCCGGAGGATGTGGAACAAGCCACCAGATTTCTACATGAGAATGGTAAAGTCAATACTAAGCATTGCCTTGCTCTTGCTTAAGATGGTGAAGGGATTAGTTCTAGGTCTTACATGTTCCTAGTAATTTTTATTCAACAAGTTTTTGTTTCCATTTTTTTTTCTTAATGGTATTTTTACTAGACTAAGTGTTTGGGACATTGCTTCTGCTTTAGCTCAACTGATCACCTGTTGTCTGGCATCTGTTTGTCTGTCTGTCTGTATGTCTAGCTGTCCATCCATTTGTAAACTTTTCATATTTTTAACATTTTCTCAAGAATGACTGGGTCAATTTTAACCAAAATTGGCACAAAGTATCCCTGGGTAAAGGGAATTTTAAATTCTTCAAATGAAGGGCCAAGCCCTCTTCCAATTAAGGTATGATAATCAACAAAAGGCAAACATAGAGTGGAGTCATTAAAAAATCTTCTTCACAAGAACCACTGGCCAGAAAAGGTGAAACTTAAGTGGAAGTATCCTGGATAGTGTTGATTATAAATTGTTCAAATCATTACCCAGTACTCCTGGTGTAAGGTGGGGCCACAATAAGGAATGAAAGTTTTACATTGAAATATATAAGACAAATCTTTTAAATTCTTTTCAAGAAAGCTTCTTGGAGAAGGTTTGTTTCTAAGTTGTTCAAATCGCTACTCCCTGGAATAAGGTGGGACCACAATATGGGATGAAAGTTTTACATTGAAATATATATTTAAAAAAATCTTTAAAAATCTTCCTCTCAAGAACCACTGGACCAGAAAAGTTGAAACTTATGTGAAAGCTTCCTAAGAGAGTGTAAGTTCTAAATTGTTCAAATCATGGACTCCAGGGGTAGGGTGGACCACAATAGGGGATAAAATAGGGGGGGGGGGAGGCAAAAAAAGGACTATATGGAAATTTTTTTTTCAAATCTTCTAAAGAATCATCTAAAGAACCTTTAATTTGCAAACATTCCCAAGTTGTGTGGATTAATTTTTTTGTTTTTTTCAAAATATGGACTCTGGGTTAGAGTTTGCTAAAATCAGGATAAAATTTTACATAATGCATGTATGCAGAAAAAAAATCTTTTTCATAACTGCAAGGGCATATGTGGTCACAATTTTTCATGGAAATGTAAAAATCTTTTGAAAATCTCCCATAGAACAGCAGGACTAAAGTAACTCAGGTGAGCATTGTGGCCTATAGGCCTCTGGTTATACAGTGACAAACTAAAGGTGATGTGTGAGTAATATTTCTTCACAAAACGCACAAGTTATAAACCTTTATTTATACTTCATGTATTTAATAGATAAAGTTATCAGACAGGAGTCATTTTATTTCAGAATGCAAAATTGCTTACTTCTTGAAAAATATCTCTTGAGTTTTGTTGGAAATTAAGAATAAAAGTAACTTCTCTCTCCTAAATTCCAGGTATACTGTTCCATTATGAAGATCTCACGTTAAAGGATCGTTATTTTCTGAACCCTCAGTGGCTCTGTGATCAGCTAGCCCGAGTTGTGACGGTAGACCAGGTCAACAACTTCACTCAAAATGGTGACTATCTTTCTTATGTGTAACAATCAAAACAATTAAGCCATCAGTAGGGGTGAGGGAGTTGAGGATGTTGGCAGCATCCAGTATGTGATCCAAACTAGCTCAGTGTACAGTCAAACCTGTATTAAGCAATGTATCAAGGGAAATTCTCTAAAATGGTTTCATATAACAGGTAATCTCCTTAATCGGGGATTCTGAATCATATTCTAGCAATATTTGAAGTTTATAAATACATACTAAATAGAAAAACTTGTTTCCTGTTGTCTGTGCTTCATCATAATTTTGAATAATTTTTATTCTTCTTGATTAATAAAATGTATTCAATTAATATTTCTTTGTACAAATTGTTTTAATTTCTAATTCCTTTAAGGTAAATTTAACTTGTAAAAAAAATCCCAAACGAGATTTTTTTTATGTGTTTATTATAACATTTTTTTTTACCATAGAATTAAAACTACTCACGACAAGATTATGCCCAAAGATGGATTTTTTTTTAGATATGATATCACAAGGAAAACTCAAGGATTTTTTAAAAGGAAAAAAGTAACAAATATCATACACTTTCAAAGTTAATCTAGGGTTACTTTTACTGTATTTCTTATTTTAAAAAGTTTCTATTTGAGACCAGATCACATACTGCAAGTATCTCTCTGTAAATTGGGAGGAAGGGGCAAAACCAAACTTTTTTTTTTACTCTTTTTATTGAAAAATGGAGCTAAAAGTCACTAAAGTTAGGGACCTAAGCTGCTTAAGGAGAGAAAATGATGGTTACTTGTCATGTTAGACAGGGAGATGCTGGATGTAGGTAAATTATAATGAAAAATTTCTCTGGAGGAAATTTAATGAGGTGGCCTCTATCACAAGTTTGACTGTGTTTTCCACATCAATTTAAAGCAGAGACTGAGTGCTTTCATATCCCATAAAAAGTTTCCCCTGATAGTCCAGGTATTGAAAAAACCGGCTGTGTGAAATTCAGTATTCTTGAATTTTGAAGAAAATGGATGTATTTGATTACCTTAAGCAAAGAATAAAAGCACCCCTCGATTCAAAAAAAAAAAAACATGGATTATAATCTTCTGAAACAGTTCTTTCATTATATAATTTAATTTTGGTTGTAATGCATCACTTGATTGGACAAAAAAATTAGTTTATAAATATCGAATAACCTGTGTTGCCTACATCACAATGACTTGCGTCAAAAACGTATCAATCCTCTTGACGTTACATTTAAAATATGTACAATTTGAAGGGATTTTTGAGGTAGAAATTGTCTTATTTTCTATAATCAATAATTGAAAATTAAATTATATGGAATGAATTTAATAGTTACCCAAGTTATACTGGTATAACTTGGGTTGGAAGAGTTTATGCTTTTTTTTATAAACTGCTTCGCGGTTTATTAAGGGTAAACTGCCCCAACTAAGGTTATACAATGTATAACTTGGGTTGCTATTAAGTTCATTCCTAAAATAATTGAACATTTTGGATCAGAGATTGGGGTCTACCGGTATACAAAATATTGAAAAACAGCTTAAATCTTTGGCCATTTTTGAAGAAATTTTCAGAATTTGAGGATAATGATGCAATTTATAACGTCATAATACATGGGCAAGCAAGAAAATTACATTTTGCAGTCACCAAGAGTCCAAGTGAAATTTATTGTATTTTCAACAAAAAAAGAGCAGTTTTAATTTTTCAGAAATTTACAGGACCAAAAATGGCCCTAAGTGATCCTTGTTTTAAAGTTATAAATTATTCCTTGTATTGGTTATGATGTTAATTGTGTGATTATAATGTATAAATTTGATAACAAAAGCAAATACACATTCCTTAAAAGTTAAGGTGTGTACATATTTAGTGAAAACATCACTTTCAAATTCGGAAACAAAGTTAATTAATTAATCTGACATGTAACACCTTGATGGCAGGTTCTAAGCATGTGGTCCTGAATGAAAGACTTACGTCAGAGAGATTTAAATTAACACTAGGCTTAAGATTATCACCATACTTTAACAACTACAATGTAATTCATGAACAATGAATTAATGGAAAATAAACAGATTTATATAAGTTTATCTGATGATATCATGCAGCATTTGATTTATATGTATTACATATAGAAAGGAAGAAAACCTTTCTGACTATATTCCACACTTTTTCTTCTTTTATAGGCTGGGTACTTCACAACTTATGGTGAATTTACTTTCCTCGTATGTCATAACCTTGAAAAAAAATAAATTGTGAGTCAAGGTCAGATCAGATTGTTCAAACTTCTTGGGTATAATTTACCAAGTTCATTGTCATCAATGTATCTAAAAGACATCAAGTTAAGTGTTACAAAATAATGCACAGTTTATTTATCTACGCCTTTCTGAGTACTAATAGGTAGGTTTATAAGGGTCTTTTTCACCCCTACCTTTTTAGGGGGTGTCTCTCGAATGTTGTAATGGTTTATATGCAAAGACCTTTGATCTTGTCTGTTCCAAACTATGTGTTAGTTTTCAGATCATAACCTAAAAGTCACAGGATGTGTCCTACATACTGTAAAGGTTCATGGACCTCTAGATGGTATTTTTGGTACATTTGAAGAGTAGAAGTTTCTTCAACCTTTTCAGTAAATTATTGGAACCATACACAATACTCATGGCAAACAAAAAAAGGAGAGTTCAGTATTGATTAGTATGTATTTATCTGTTGACTTGTTCACCATCATGGTATGATCTATTTGATTTTTCAGGTGTGATGAAGGCCACTAATCTACATGTTCTGTTTAAGCAGTCCTCTTTCCAGCCAGAGAACATCGAGCATTACATTTGTGGGCTTCTGTCCAAGTTTGAACTCGCCCTCGAGTTTGACCAGCAGCATCTGTTGATTCCATCCCTGTTACCAAGGGAACAAGACATGCATAACTGCATCAGGAAAAGTGAAGATGTTAAGGTTAGATTTTTTAAAATGAAAATATGAATTGCAAAAAATATATACACTTAGTAGAGCTTCTTATCTACGAAATCCATGCAAACTCGATTCATTTATCTAGCAGCTCTAAATAATCTCAGTACAGTTTACTAATATTAACTCAGAACAATCTCAATAGACTTCACTTACTTTTAACACTAATTTATCAGATCATAAAAGTTGCTGATCAAACAAATCAGTTGAATTTACACATCAATTAAGTTCAACTATGTCGAGCTTCAGGGGAAGAACTGCTAACGATAGTATTGTTCTGCCACCTATCTCCAAGTCAATTTTCAAAAGTTATCATAGGAATCTCGAGTTATGGTGCAAATTTTTAAAGCAATAATCAACTCTACTCTGCACAAAATCAGTAGACCTAATATGTATTAAATCTGTATAAATTTGTGTCTATCAACTCTATATAGACTCATTTGATTTTACATATCTATCAACTCTGTATCTAGACTCAATGCATATCTGTCAAATCTGTATTACATTCAGTTTAATTTACATATTTATCAGCTCTGTAAACACTCAGTTGAATGTACACCTATTAGTTTTGTACAAAATCAGTTTAACTTATCTATCAATTGACTTTGTACAAATTCAGTTGAAATTATGTACTGTATAAAGGGTGATTTTAGTGACCTGCAAATTTAGTGATTTTATCCTAAAAGTTGGTATTTAGTATAAGCATAATTAAATTTTAGCAATTTTAGGGAAAGCTTTAGAAAGCTTTAGAAAAGATTTGTCATTGAATTATTAGGCTAGCAGCATCTGTGTTTAGCATTACCAAGATCATCACTAATAATACCAAAATTAGTGGGTTACTAAAAATTCCCGTTATGCGGAATATCTTTACTATCAACTCTGTACAAACTTAGTTAAATTTATGAATTTATCAACTTTGTATTGATGATAAACGGAGCCCTAATGGCCTCAGACGTGAGTATGACAAAACGGAGAGAAATTTTAAGGTCAAAATATAAGTACATGAAAAATTAATATCAGAAATAATCCAGAACGGAAATCAAAGTCTCAGGTTAGACGCACCTAGCTGGGGTTAATATAATTCTCAGATGATTAAGAATGATCTGTTCATTAATGGTTATTTAGAACTTGTTAAGTGATACATATGTATACTAATAATGGTTGGTATTTAGGATTTTGTGTGCAAATTAATATCTAAACAAAATCAGTGAAATGAATTATGTCATGAATTAGCAAGTCATAGTAATGTGGAGCAAAAAATTTTAAACACTAAGGATTTATTCTAAGTTATAGATTCACCTGAGTCATGTAGGTAACTGCTTGCTGTTTGTTAGATCTCCCTTTGTTGTGTGTCATCTGTAGATCATAAATTTTTCAACATCTTCTCTGAAACAGCTGAACTAATTTCAACCAATTTTGGCAAATAGCATCTAATGTTAATTGTAAATTTTTTTATCCCTGTCTCCATAGACCAATACCATCATGATTAATGAAGCTCAAAAAATTTTCATCTTTTCTCCTTGACATCTAGCACTGGCAAACTGTTGGCATGGTTCTAATGAGCAATTAGTCCTTGACAAAAATTGTGAAATTCATGATTCCTGGATTAGGGTTCAGGCTTCAGGGAGGGGCTAAGCTGGTCATTTTTTGAAAATGCATTATGTCTTAAATCTTAGACATCTAGCAGGCAAAATATTGGCATGATAATGATAGTACGATATTACTCATGATCCTTTTTAGCAAAATAATAAACTCATGGCATCTGCATGGTTCTTGGTTAAGGCCTTCGGATGGGGCCTAATTAATTGGACATATACATGTATTGAAAACACATTACGCTTTTGAAAAATTTGATCCAAATTGTATGCTCAGTAAAATATTTTTGATACGTTCAAGATAAGAGTGCCACCATGACCACCCATGGGCCTTAACAGTCAACTGAGTTTCTTAGGTTATGACCACTTTGGGTCCACCTAGTCTAGACTTTGACAAAACTTTTACAGTTTGATGAGGACCCTATAATCATTATCCCATTCTCTTTGAAGGTCATGAGTTAAGAAGATAAGGAACATTGTTCAATAAATTTCAGTATATGACCAGTTTAGCCCCATCCTGAAGTCTGAACCCAAGGACAATGAAATTCACAATTTTTGTACAGGGCTCATTGCTCATTACAGTCATGCCAACAATTTAATAATGTATGTCCAAAATCTCATACTATCAATTTGACAAGTTGAAGGCCATTTTCCTGTAGGTTATTCAATTTTGATCACTGCAACAGGAACTAGAAATGGCTCATCCATCTTAATTGGAGAATAAAACAACTCTGCTGTATTATTTTTTCATGGGTATTTTGATGTGTATGTGTTACTGTGGAATCATCAATGTTCGTGGATTTCGTGGGTCACCCTTATCCATGCATTTACATCCCCATGAACAATTATTTGTCAACATATTTATTCATTGAATCTTCTGTATATATGAGTTACCCACGAAATAACGTCCCCATGAACCAATAAATTTTGCTTGCCCACGAACATTGACCCCCACGAATTTAAATGATTCCACAGTATGCTGTATTGTATGTATTTTGTAGATTCCATTACAAGATGACACATTCAGAAGACCTCACTCGGGTTCATTCAGTATTGGTAGCCCGAACACCTCAGTCTCCCAGAGACCTGCTCCCTTGGCATTTGTGAACAGCCATCCCTCTAGTAATGTCATTTTTTCCCACTGTAGATTGTATGTTATGACATATTTTCCCAGTGGATTTTGGCCAAGATTAATCACTAGGATTCTTGCAGATAGATCTATGTACGACATTGTAAAGGAACTTTTCCCAATACCATGTGATATTTTAGATGCTTGCCCCTATCTTAAACAGAAAGAACCTTGTTGGCAGCTATGGCAAACAGGAATACAGCTACTGCATCATAAGGCCGTTTTATTTCGTATTAAAGAAGTGCTACCAGGTCTTACTGGATTTTGTGATTATCAAAGAACGGAGTTGAAATGCTGGATAGAGAATCGCTGGTCCCATATTGACATGCAGAACAGTGTAATACTAGAGATGGGATTTTGCTGTGATTCAATAGAGTTTACCTTTGCAGACAGAAGTTCATCACAGCATGGGATGTGTGCAATCACTAAAAAAGAACAAGTCTTTATGGATGAGAAAGCATGTGCTAAGTTCCTTGTGAAGATTTCAGAGCATGTTGATAACCTATTGCAGGACTGGTATCCAGAGATCGGAGAATCTCGATTTGTACAGAACTGTTATGGTAGATACTTAATCACCAGGGTCATACCATGTCCTCATTGTCTTTTTGAAGTCGTGAAGGAGGAGAAAAAGAATGACACTACATTGTTCTGGCAGTGTGTTGACCAAAATCTGGACGTCACTTCAACTGTCTCTTTGTCTGATATAGAAAGAAGTGAAACATCACTCAGTGAAAGGTAAGGCATTCTTTGTGATCTGAATTAATGGATGCAGCTTGATGGCTCTTTTAAAACAGGCTTTTGCCAACTTGAGTGGTCTTGCTAGGACTTACGATCATATTCGTTTTCACTGAGATCACTTAAGGTGAAATACAACTTAAGTACATGTTCCTAGTTCTTGCGTAAGTAATTTCCGTGGGGTATAAGGTTTGCACTAATGTCACTTACACAAGGGTAAAATACAGCTTACCTAACACTTACATAAGCAATCTCAGTGCAGTTTATGGTTTTATTACATAAATAGATAATTTAGAATCACTGACTGCAACCTGTTACCAAATATAGTGTTATGTTTTAAAAAAATATCCAAATAAAGTGCTAATTAACTTTTTTATTAGGTCACCTGAGTCACTCAGGTGACCTATTGCTATCCGTTCTCGTCCGTTGGTGTGCGTCGTGCGTTGTGTGTTAACATTTGAACATTTTTAGCTTCTTCTCTGAAACCACTTAACCAATTTCAACCAAATTTGACATATAGCATCTATGATGAAGGGGAACAAAAATTGTGAATTTCATGGTCCCTGCCCCCCTGGGGCCTGAGGGGTGGGGCTAAAACCACCAAAAATAATGCAATCTTTAAAAATCTTCTTCTTTACTCCTGGACATCAAGCAGTCAAACTGTTGCATTGAGCATTGAGCCCTCTACCAAAATTATGAAATTCATGGCCCCAGGGTCAGGGGTTCTGGCCCCAGGGTGGGGCTATATAGCTCATATAGTGAAAGTGCATTATTTCTTTGGAAATCTTCTTCTCTGCTCCTGGTTATTAAATTAAGAAACTAAGTACATAGTTATGAAGAGCAAGAGTGCCTCTTCCAAAATTGTGAAATTCATGGCCCCAGGGTCAGGGGCTCTGGTGTTAGCGCGGGCTCTATTGATTATATAGTGAAAATGCATTGATTCTTTGAAAATCTTCTTCTCTTCTCCTGGGTATTAAATAAAGTAAGTAAGTACATAGTTGAAATGAGCAAGAGTGTCTCTTCCAAAATTGTGAAATCATGGCCCCAGGGTCAGGGGCTCTGGTGTAAGTGCGGGGCTCTATTGATTATATAGTGAAAATGCATTAATTCTTTGAAAATCTTCTTCTCTGCTCCTGGGTAATAAATAAAGTAACTAAGTACATAGTTATGATGAGCAAGAGTACCTCTTCCAAAATTGTGAATTTCATGGCCCCAGGGTCAGGAGTTCTGGTGTTAGGGCGGGGCTCTATTGATTATATAGTGAAAATGCATTAATTCTTTGAAAATCTTCTTCTCTGCTCCTGGATATTTAATAAAGTAACTAAGTACATAGTTATGATGAGCAAGAGTACCTCTTCCAAAATTTTGAATTTCATGGCCCCAGGGTCAGGGGTTCTGGTGTTAGGGCGGGGTCTATTGACTATCTAGTGAAAATGCATTAATTCTTTGAAATCTTCTCTTCTCGTGGGCATTAAGGTGATAAACTAAGTACATAGTTATGATGAGGAGGTGGGCCTCTTCCAGAATTGTGAAAGCCATGGCCCCTGGGTCAGGGGTTCTGGTGTTAGGGCGGGGCTCTATTGATTATATATTGAAAATGGGTTGATTCTTTGAAAATCTTCTTCTCTGCTCCTGGAGATTATTTAAACAAACTAAGTGCATGGTTATGATGCATAAGGAGGCCTTTTCAAAAATTGTGAATTTCATGGCCCCAGGGTCAGGGGTTCTGGTGTTAGGGCGGGGCTCTATTGATTATATATTGAAAATGGGTTGATTCTTTGAAAATCTTCTTCTCTGCTCCTGGAGATTATTTAAACAAACTAAGTGCATGGTTATGATGCATAAGGAGACCTTTTCAAAAATTGTGAATTTCATGGCCCCAGGGTTGGGGTTCTGGTGTTAGGGCGGGGCTCTATTGATTATATAGTGAAAATGCATTGATTCTTTGAAAATCTACTTCTCTGCTACTGGAGATTATTTAAACAAACTAAGTGCATGATTATGATGGGCAAGGATGCCTCTTCTAAAATTTTTAAATATATGGCCTCAGTTTTTGGGGTTCTTGAAGGGGGGGGGGGGGCTATTGATTATATAGTGAAAAAGCATTAATTCTATTAATTAATCATTAATTAATCCTGTCTGCTCCTTAGTGTTGAGCTGATAAATAAATTGCTTAGCTATGATGAAAATTGGAGCTTCGAACAGAATTTTTAAATCTTGTGGTCCTAGGGTCAGGGGTTCTGGCATAACGAGGGGGGGGGGGGGTGATAATATAGTCAAAAAGTGTTAATTCTTTGAAGTCCATAGTATTGATGATGAGGGTAACTCTTCCAAATTTGTAAATTTCTTGACCCTTGGTCTTGGGTTCTGGTGTTAGGGTAAGGCTTTGTTGAATCTGTAGTGAAAATGCATTGTACCTGTGAAATTCTTCTCTGCTTCTGGGCATATCGGAAGCAAACTGATTAAAAGTTTAAATTATGTAAGTAAGTGTATTTCTTCCAGATTTTTGAACATCTGGACCATTTGTCTAAGCATTCTGGTCCTGCGCAGGGCTCTATTAATTTGTATTCTACTTAGAGAAGTTATTCCCCTTTTCCATTCACCTTTGATAATTAATCACTGTAAATAATGTATTTGAAAGGTTAATAGAATAAGGTAATTATGCAAGAATATTTATCGTATAATTAAAAAAGTACTTTCTTAGTTTTAAAAATCAGGTAGACCTGTAAGTAATAGATAAATAAAAATGAGACAAAAATAACTTATTAAAAGTTCTTCAAAGACCATAAGAGAGCAGTCAATGCTAGAGGTTTTAATATGGGATTAAAAATAGTACAGAAGCACCAATAGTTTGTTAAAAGTCTGCATGGTGATAGTGTTAAGTGGGGGACAGATTAGAACAGAATTTATGACTTGATACTGAATACTAGACTAATTATTTTGTTGATCCTGATCTTCCTACTTCTCTTGCTTTAGGGCAACAAAGCTTCATCTATCAGTGTATTTAACTTCTAAATTGTTGTATTATACTCAGGTGACCGTTAAGGCCCTTGGGCCTCTTGTTCCTATTGGTGTTATTTCATGAAAACTACCAGATTTCAATGGAATCTTGAAGAAAAAAATATTTTTTACATAATTATTTGTGGTGATTTCTTACTTTCATAAGATCAATTAGAAATATAATCACTACTTCAAATTCATGAATGCCTCTCCCTCTTCAAAGGGGAAATAATTAAAACAAAGTAAGATTTGGGTGGGGTTATTTAAAAATCTTCTTCTCAAGAACCAAAGGCAAGAAAAGATTAATCTTATGTGAAAGCTTCCTGACATTGTGTAGATTTAAGTTTGATCAAAACATGATCCCTGGGGGTAGGGTGTGGTCACTATTGATGATCAAAGTTTTACATGGGAACACATACAGTCAAACATTGTTATCTCGAAAATACTTCAAGATATCCGATGATTCGAGATATCCAGGGTAAAATACTTAAGAAATACCAAAGTTCAACTGTATATGAAAAATCTTTAAAAATCTTCTTCTCAAGAACAGCAAAGCCATGATCAGTCATATTTATATGGAAGCATCCATAGGTAGTGTAGATTCAAGTTTATGCAAAACACGGGTAGGATGTGGCCACTCTTGGCGATCAAAGTTTTAAATGGGTGTAAATACAGTAAAACCTCATTATCTCAAACTTAATTGGACTGAGAAAAAACTTTGAGATATCCGAGGATTTGTGATATTGAAAGTAAATACTTAAAGATTAAGTGGTTGGGACTTCCACAACACTTCATCATATCCATGGTATTCCAGATATCAGTGTTCGAAATACCGAAGTTCAACTATAGGTAAAATCTTTTTCTCAAGTACAGCAAAGTCATGATTGATCATATTTATATGAAAGCATCCTCAGGTAATGTAGATTCATATTTGTTTAAAACGTTACCCCTGGGGGTAGGGTGGGGCCACAGTGGGCGATCAAAGTTTTACATGGGTATACATAGGTAAAATGTTTAAAAATCTTCTCAAGAACAGCAAAGCGGTGATTGGTCATATTTAGATGAACGCATCCTCAGGTAGTGTAGATTCAAGTTTGTTCAAAACAAGAAACAAGGCCCCCAGGAGTAGGGTGGGGCCACAATGGACAATCAAATTTTTACATAGGAATTTATACTGTAGGAAAAATCTTCTTTTCAAGAAAAGCAAAGCCATGATTAATTATATTTATATGGAATCATCCTCAGGTAATGTTGATTCAAATTTTTCAAATCATGACCCCCCTCCTTGGGATAGGGTGGCCATGGCGGGGGCCTTGATGGCCTTGGGAGAGCAAAGTTTTACATTGGAATATATAGGAAATATCTTTAAAAATCTTCTTTCCAAGAAAAACAAATCCATGATTAGTTATATTAATTCAGAAGCATCATCAGGTAGTGTAGATTCAAGTTTTTTTTTCAAATCATGTTCCCTGGGGGTAGGACTGGGCCACAGAAGAAGATCAAACATATTGAAAAAAAATATTCTAAAGCCATGATTAGTTGAAGAAATGCTTGCTTGATTTAGCTTAACTTGGTGTACACTAGTGTACACCGATGTATATGGTTGTATTGTAAAATCAAGTGCATTGTACAAGCTGCAGTGTACATGGTGTATCTTGCCAATGTGGGGCTGAAATTTTTTTTTTAAAGTGAAAAAATATAAAATGCATTAAGAATTGACTAAATTATTTAAAATAGTAAAAAAAATAATTTCAATGTCATCATTTACACATAAAGACAGCTTAAATGGGATTTCTTATCCTTTATATGACATAAAATCATTTGTTAAATTTCTAATTGTACCATTCTCTGCCATATTGGGTTCAGTGCTAAACCTTTCAACACATGCCCTAAATTTGGTGTAAGAAAGTGTACACTCAGTGTACACCAAAAGTCACACCCCTGCACTTGATTGTGAAAGGTGTACATGGGGTAAAAGGTATAAGTAAATCAAGTTCACCCATAGAAGCATCCTCAGTTAGTGTAGATTCAAGTGTGAACAAATCATGCCCCCCCCCCCTTTCCCGTGGGTGGTGGGGGTGTTTATTTGTGATCACTTATATATTTAATCTTTTCAATACTGAACTGATTTCTGCTTTTTTCCTAACCAATGTGCACAGGTGAGCAACGTGGCCCATGGGCCTCTTGTCTGTGTTAGGAAATCTTTCTTCATATTAAGTAGATTATACTAAGAAAAAGACACAATTTTCTTTATTGTTTCTTGATTTTGACAAACGGTGTTGCCATGGTTACTAAAAAATAGAAATCTTGGTGAAATTCATTGAAAAGGTTACTCCTCCTGCAGTTTTAGGCTGATTGCAATTAAACTTGCCTCAAAAGAGACTAAACCAAGGCTTATTATTTTTTTATTGCTGTTGCCATAGTTTCAAGTCCAAGTGCTACTTTTCTCTTTTTTTGTTATACAGTAGAGTTTTGTCATATTTTTCTGATTGTTTTGAATTTCATCGTATTCACAGGGAAAGACAAAATGGAATGTATTGTTTCCTTGTGGAGAAGTGCATACTTAACTGTCTGAATGACCACAATGAGATTTGTCCCAGTCATGGTAGCATGTCCCCACGGTTCATGATGAGTGTAGAGGGGATAGCCCGCACTCTCTACATTGCCCCTGACATTGTTTTCAATGACCTTGACACCAGTATTCTGATTGGTCCAGCTGATAATCTGACTCTTGTGAAGCTGATTGGTAAAGGAGCTTTTGGAGAAGTTTATCAAGGAAAACTAAGAAGGGTAAGTACACAATGTATGATAATTCTCCAAGCAGCAAGAAATACTTTTATAGTTAGCAGGATTGTTATAGTTCCCATATAGCAAAATATGTTTTGAAGATGTTGTCAATCTTTTCTGTAACTATAATTTACTCATACAATTTTGTACTTCTTTAGGTTGATGAACCATTGGAAGATGTAGCAGTTAAAATGCTGTGTGGTCCTTTCAAAGATATTGCACTTCAACCTAAGGTGAAATTGAAAATAAAGTCAGTTCAGTGTATACATACAACATCCTTATTAGGTCACCTGAGTCACTCAGGTGACTTGTTGCTATCCGTTTTTGTCTGTAGTCATACTTTAACATTTGAACATTTTCAACTTTTTCTCTGGAACCTCTGAACCAATTTCAACCAATTTTGGCATATCGCAACTATGGGTTAAGGGGAACAAAAATTGTGAATTTCATGGTTCCTGCCCACCTGGGGCCTGAGGGTTGGGGCTAAAACCACCAAGGTTAATGCAATCTTTAAAAATCGTCTTCTTTACTCCTGGAAATCAAGCAGTCAAACTGTTGGCATGATTGTAAAAAGCATTGAGCCCTCTACCAAAATTGCAAAATTCATAGCCCCCAGAGTCATGGATTCTGGTGCTAGGGAGGGTTATATAGATCAATAGTGAAAGTATAATATTTCTTTGAAAATCTTCTTGTCCTCTCCTGGGTATTAGACTAAGTACCGATACATAGTTATGTTGAGCAAGGGTGCCTCATCCAGAATTGTGAGTTTCATGGCCCCTGGGTCAGATGTTCTTGTGTAAGGGTGGGGCTCTATTGATAGTGAAAATGCATTAATTCTATTAATTAATTCTATTATGCAGACAGTGCATAGTTATGATGAACAAGTGTGCTTTGTACAAATTTTTTAAAACTTGTGGTCCCAGGGTCAGGGGTTTGGGTGTTTCTTTGAGGGGGATAGGGGATGTGAAAATATGTTTATTCTTTGAAAATCTTCATCTAAGTGCATAGTTATGATAATGAAGGTACCTCTTCCACATTTGTGAATTTTATGACCCTAGGTCATGGATTCTGGTGTTAGGGTTGAATCTATAGTGAAAATGCATTATTTCTTTGAAAATCTTCTCTGCTCCCAGGCATATCGGAAGCAAACAGAGGAAAAGATGTAATAAACAAGGGTATTTTTACCAGATTTTTGAACATCTGGACCATTTTGTCAAGTGTTCTGGTCCTGGCCAGGGCTCTTAAATTGTATTCTACTGAGAAAAGTTCTTCCCCTTTGCCATTCACTTTTGATAATTTATCACTGTAAATAATGTATTTGAAATGTTAATAAAATAAGAGAATTATGCAAGCATTTTGATTGTAAAATACAAAAAGTACTTTAATAGATTTTAATGATCAGGTAGACTTGTAAATAATAGTTAAGTAAAATTGAGACAAAAATAACTTATTAAATGTTCTTCAAAGACCAAGAGAGGTCAATGTGAGGTTATAATAAAGGGTAAAGAATAGTACAGAAGCACTAATTTGCATGGTGATAGTGATAAATGGGAGGACAATCTAGAACTTAATTTGTGAATTGCTACTGAATACTAGACTAATTATTTCGTTGATCCTGATCATTCTATTTTACTTGCTTTTGGGCAACAAAGCTTCATCTATCAATTTATTTTATACTCTATGGATCCTCTAAATTGTTGTAATATACTCAGGTGACTGTTAAGGCCCTTGGGCCTCTGTTAATTATTATACAGTTATTGCTGTTTATTCAGTCCATGCGAGGATTTAGCCATCTGAGGAAACAATATTCACAAAGCCTGAAAGGTGAGGTACATATTGTGCTTCGAAGGTGGCTAAATCATTGTATTGACTGAAAAAACACCAATAATTGTTTTATTATATGCTTCCATAATTAAATGACACAGAGTCATTAAGTAATCTATGCCATCTTACTTTTTTACATTTGCTGAAGTCCTAGCCAAATGCAATAAGAAATGTGGGGTTAAAATAAACATATCCAGTTATATTAATTTGTAGGTGCAATATAGGAAAAAAAATATTATGTTCAACTGAGTGGAAGTCGGGCGAAAGTAAAATATTTTTCCAGAACTATTTGTATCCATTTGGAATTTTCCCGATATAGTTTTAGTCCATTGTATACATATAAATCCTTATGTTCACCTGGAAGGTCACAATGTATTATTTTTTCTACATTGTTGGATCTCAGCCCATCAGAGAGCTAGGAATTATTTAATCTTAAAATAATTGGAATTGTTGTATACAAACAAATATGAGACATGATCAGTCTTATCTTGTCATAAAACCAATCTGCTAGAATAATAAAGGGTTGGGATTGGGGGTCTGGTAAGTCTTTCACTTGTCATGTTATTGCTATAGACTTTTTTCTTAACCCTACATATTGTTATGGATTTTTTATAATCATTCTTATAAGGTACATTGCAATTTTAGTCTGCACATTGAATATATATAATCTGAGGATATTCTTTTGAAAAAAGATGTGTTCTACTGGAAGTCAACATTTTGCAGGGTCAATCAGACCTCCACATGGAGAATGCAACATCAGCCTACCTGACTGCAAGACAAGAGATCTCCATTCTACAAACTATACAACACCAAAACATTGTCCCCCTCCTCGGTCTAGCCATGAGGCCTCTGTCCTTGGTCCTTAGTCTGGCACCACAAGGAAGTCTTGGAAACAAACTTCTGCAGATTGGACAAGAAGGAAAACGACTAAGTGTGTATGCCATCAAGCAGATTGTTTTGCAGGTGAGCATGACTCTTTGTGGGAGTGCTCCTAAAATACTGAGAAATTGTTACACTCAGGGGCGTGTTATTATACCACCCATCTCCAAGCAAAAAGTTGTTGGGGTAAAACTTAGTTTTAAGAAAGTCACTGGGACTTTGAATTTTACTTCCCTGTAAGTGAGATTCTTTATATCTGTATAGGAATATTGTAAAAGTCACCCAGGGGAGTCATAAAAAGAATTCCTCATAACTGAGATTTCCCTATGACCAAGTAGTGGAATAACTGTGTGTATCTGTGTGCCTGTAGAATCAAGGTTGAGGTCAGTGTTAAAGTAGTTAATCAAGTTAATCAAGTTAGATTTTCTGGTCACCTTTTGTCTGTCGGTCCATCCGTCCATCTGCAAACTTGATCAATTTCAACCAAACTGGACATAAAGCATTCTTAGGTGAAGGGGATTCAAGTTTATTCAAATGAAGGGCTATGGCCTCTTTCAAGGGGATATAATTAAAAATTAGTGAAAATTTCATAACATCTTTCAAAAATCTTTTTCTCAAGAACCACTTGGCCAGAAGAGTTGAAACTAAAGTGAAATTTATATAAAACCAACACAAATGACATTTACAAATTTATTCAAATTGCCTTCTGGTAACTACTCAGCTATCTCTTTACTAAATACTATTTATAAAATCGCATCCGGCTCAATTGCTAATAGAATGAAAAAATATCTTGATAAAATTGTTCATCGAGATCAAACTGGATTTATACAAGGAAGAAATATTTCTGAAAATATAAGACTGATATATGATATCATGCAATTTACAGAGGAAGAACATATACCAGGACTTTTACTCCTGGTAGATTTTGAAAAAGCTTTTGATTCCTTTGTCTTGGTCTTTTATACAGAAATCCCTCAAATTTTTTAATTTTAGTAATTCCTTTAGAAAATGGGTTGATATTTTTTATACAAATATTACAGCTGCTGTTAATCAAGGAGGAAATCTATCACAGTCTTTTAACTTACACAGAGGCTGCCGTCAAGGAGATCCTTTGTCTCCATATTTATTCCTCATTTGTGCAGAAATCCTTGCAATCAGCATAAGAAACAATAAAGATATAAAAGGGATTCAGTTTATGAATACTGAAAAAAAGTTAACTATGTTGGCAGATGATACTTCTCTAATATTAGATGGAAGTGAAAAATCCCTTCAGTCTAGTCTTGTTACTCTTAAAAAATTTGCGGATATATCAGGTTTGCACATAAATTATAGTAAAACTCAAGTAGTTTGGATTGGGTCAAAAAAAGGTAGCAATGATACTCTATGTACAGATAATATATTAGAGTGGGGAAAAGCAACTTTTAAATTATTAGGCATTGAATTTGATACAAATCTTCAAAATATACTTATGCTTAATTATGCATCTAAAATCGGTAATATAAAAAAATTAATACAACACTGGAACAAGAGAAATTTAACTCCTCTTGGTCGCTTGACAGTTTTAAAAACCCTTTTACTGCCGACCTTAAATCATATTTTTGCATCTCTCCCAAATCCCTCTGAAATACAAATAAAAGAATTAGAGAAGATTTTCTATACATTTGTAATGGGTAGTAATAATTCAAGACTGAAAAGGAAAATTTGCATAATGAATTATAAGGAAGGGGGCTTCAAGATGATCAGTGTAAGAGAGTTCATTATGTCCTTAAAACTAGTATGGATGAAAAAATTGTTACTACAGGACAATGGGTTGGATTCTTTTTTAGATGTTGACATTAAAAAAGTTGTATACTGTGGGCAAGAGTATGTTGTCAAAAAAATGAATGATTTAAAAAATATATTTTGGAGGGATGTGTTGCAAGCATGGTTAAACTTTAGTGAAAAATCCTTACAAAATGACACACTTCTTTCTTTAGAACCATTATTTCTAAACAAAAATTTAATTATTAATAAAAAGCCATTTTTCTATAGAAGATGGTTTTCAGGTAATATTTCATGTATTAGTGACATACTTTATGAAGATGGGTCATTTATGAGTTTGAATGACCTGCACGCGAAATACGGGATAAAAACACATTTTCTTGAATATAATGGCATTAAAGCAGCAATATTAGAATGGCTGAGAAAGATAAACAGAGATCCTAATAATTTATTAAAGGTAACTTATCCATATATTCCAGAGAATGTTAATTCTCTACTGAATGCTAAAAAATCCCATGATTTCTATGAAATATTAATCAAACAAATAATTGAACCTTTGGGTAAAATCTCTTGGAATAGAGTCTTTGACTTGAGCAATGGTGAATGGGAGAAAATCTTTTTACTCCCATTCAAAATTACAAAAAACACAAAACTTCAGTGGTTCCAATTTAGAATAAATCATAAAATACTAGCAACAAAGTCCTTCCTGCATAAAATTAAAAAAATTGACAGTAATGTATGTACTCTTTGTAAAACAGAAACTGAAACAATTGAACACTTGTTGTGGGAATGTGAACATGTTCAGACTCTTTTAGAGAATTTTGCAGAGTACTGCTTTGATAGAATCCACTCTACTATAACCTTCTCAAAAAAGGAATTTTTACTAGGCTCTGTGAAGAAAACTGACAAGCTTAAAAATATTATTGCTCTACAAATCAAATATTACATTTATCTGTACAAATGTACAAACAGAAACATTTCCTTAGGTGGGTTGATATCCTCTATTAAGACAATGTATGAATTACAAAAATATATATCTTATAAAAATAATGAAAGAGAATCTTTTGATGAAAGCTGGAGACTTTTGAATGACTTATTTTCATAATTCTCTCTCTCTCTCTCTCTCTCCCCTCTCTCTCCTCTCTCTCTCTCCTCTCTCTCTCTCTCTCAATTTTTTTTGTAAAAAGAAACCATTGAAAATACAATAAATTATAAAAAAAAAACTACTCAGCTATTATAAAATTGCAACAAACTATAATGAAAAATTACACACGCAAACAATGTATTTACAGTACTCTAGATATTTACACTAATTATCAGGCAACATGCCTGATACAACCAGGCATTGTTAATGAGTAAATGCAATGTGTATTAGGCCGATGGCCGAATATGGTAGCCGATGGCTTGTATGTGTGGTGGGCTGCAGGCCCCCATGTATGTGAGGCTGATGGCCTAGTGACAGTGTGAGGCCGATGGCCTTGAGACAGTGAAATGAATGCGGCCGATGGCCTGTGTGCGTGTGTAAAAGTGGATCTAACATGGATTTACAATAAACAAAATTTCTTTTGGGGTTAAATAACACACTTGACCAAGTGTGAAATGCCCAAATGAAGTTATTATAATGTCAATATAATAGCTGAGAGCCCTAAAAGGAATTATCAAACACCACCACTCTTGATCTGATACCAAAAATTATAAAATCCAATGAACATAGATACAAAGCAAATTCATCTTCTTGAATTCCAACTTAACCCGTATTATGAACAGGAGATAAAATAAAATGTAAAGTTACATTCGCTTATAAAACTACATATGTACGTAACTGTTCATTGTTTAACAATCCGCTCCAAGTTTTGTGAAAACAAACCAAATACACAACATGATGTGAACATAAAATGTTAAATTGCATGCTTAACTGATCTATTACATTTACATACACAACTGCCTTAAACATACAGCTAGTCTTTTTTACACAGTTTTTTGACAACACATTGCCTTTTGTGCACGTGACAAAGTTTGACCATCGGAACGAATGTACCTGGTGTAACAGTCTGAGCTCCATCTACCCAAGGTTTTGATCAAGTGATCTTCTACTTGGCCACCGGCAGCAGAGGTAGCAGCTCCTATTCTGAAAGAGTGGCCATTGAAATTCTCGTCATCCAAACCCAGCAATTTGAGTATCTGCTTTAGTTTGGTAATGAAAAAGTGTCTTGATAATAGATTTCCACTTTCATCCGTAAATAAGGCTGATTTAGACATGACACAGTTGTACCACTTTCTTCGAAGGTTTAAATATTTTAACATGGATTTCACTGGACACACGGTTTGGTCTGACTGAAATAAACAGATCTGAATTCCTTTACGAAAAGGGTCAGTTTTAGATCGTTTAAGCGTGATAGTATAAGCTTTGTAGTTTCGATCCATGACGACATCTTCCACACACAATAGGTTGTCTTGATTTATATCATTCACAGTGAATTCCCCGCATCGAAGGAATGCGAAAAATGCTAGAGAACAAGCAGCTTGCAGCATGGTATCTAGGAAATAACCGAACATACCCCGCTGTAAGACATTTTGAATTTGGATCAAAACACTGTATGTAATGGGCCTCCTTTTCTGTTTATAACTTTGTTGTTTTTGAATTCCCCTCAACACTGTTTGCAACCTTGCACACGATTCATCTGATGATAGAGGATTAGAAATACCAGCCTTCACATAATGGAATCTCACAGCTGCAAGATACAATTTGATGGTATTGTATGTTAGTTTTAGGGAATTGCAGCAGTGTGTAACAAAGTAAATAAGGGTTTGTTCTGAGATCTTAGGTGGATTATAATTAGGCGCTTCTATTCCAATCGATGAAAGGAACTGGCAATATACTGTAAATCCTGTTCTGTATGCCCTCCTTGTATTGTCGCTGATTGAAGATTTGCATAAGTCCCTAGACTCTTTCTCTAATACAGGATTAATTCTTTCAAGGATGGTACTGGTACTGGCATTGCTGCTGCTGCTGGAGCTACTTCTCTGAATTTTGTCATCTGGAAACGAGAAAGAGAGTCAGCAATAATGTTTATCTTTCCTGGAACATGATCACATAATACAAGGAAATTATTATTAGCTGATATCCAAGTTAGTTTTCTTAGTAGCTTCATAATCATAGAGGATTTTGATCTGCGTTTTTTAATTATCTGAACAGTGGCCAGATTATCACACCAAAATTTAATTCTCTTTCCTGACCATTTATGCCCCCATATCACAGCGGCAACAACTATGGGATACAATTTTAACAATGCCATAGATAATGTGTCATCGCCGAGGTCTTG